CGGCGGTAGCAGCTATCCGAGATATATTTCGTCTTAAAATCATCTTTGCATCTTCTCCCTCCCCAACCCCCACTCGACGACTTCCCAAGTCCCTTCTGATTCTCGACGTGTACCGCGAGGGGGCAGGGTGTTAATACAACGGCCGACGAAGGAAGCGGCATTCGACCTTTGCGTTTATTTTGCCAAGCGTCACCCCAATCCAAGCACAATAAAGACAAAGATCCGACCCCCGTGTAGCCTTAACAGACCTGTTGGGGCAAGCGCTGTTGGCCAGCAGCACCAGCGGAAGGCCGGCGCGGCAAACGGGTGGGTGGGTGCCCAGCACTCCACGCCCCGGGGCCGCCTTTGTCTCTCGAGTGGCGATGTTGAGGCCGAGTCGACCTAGGGGAGGCCCGGGACCGGTTCAGATTAATCGTCGCCGGCATTGGCCGCGAGCGGGAATCGAACTCGGGTCGCCGGGTTCCACACACACACACGCGTGTGCACCAACGTCGCACCACACCTTCCTGGGCACCTGTGAATGCCGGCGCGGCGCACAAGATAGGGTGGTACGTGGGTGGCCATCACCACGCACGGCCGCCTTTTGTAATTACGGCTCCTGATAGTCCCCAGGCGCCTTACATCAAAACAATGGGGGGGGATTGGCCATGAAGTGGCTCGCCTTCTGAAAGAGATGTCTTGGGGCGGAAGGACTTGAATATCCGAACCGGATTCCTTTACACAGCACTCGGCAAAGAGTTTAGGGCGCCGCAATTGGCTAGGGTGTTAACTACCTCGCCTGGTAAGCAGGAGGTCGTCAATTCGATCCAGACCCTGACGCTTCTTGTAATTATTGAATGTTGTGGGTTTACTCTCCCGCACACCGTTGTGCTGTACTAGTAACGAATCGGCACGTTCCGTTTACGTGACAAACCTTACTAATTGACCGTGTCGGGTGGTGGCGGGTTTAACGACACATTTATATTTACACAATTTAACCCAAAAAACCGTGCCTTCTGAAAGAGATGATGTATATTTAGAGTTTGCGTGTCTGTCTCTCCTTTCGCCGTGGTAGCGTGGATTTTCCCGCAGGGTCCTCCGGTTTCTCCATCCACATTTAGAATCAAACGTGCGCTTACAGAGTATTGGGCTGCTGTACATTTCCACGTGATAAGCCACTTCATTGAGCTATCGTTTGTGATGGCCAGGTCCCTTCTGAGAAAGAGCTACGTAGCTCAGTGGGCCTTCCTTACCTGGTAAAATAAAATAAAATAGTTGGCTATTATCAAGACAAGTAACAAAATAGCCGAGCGTTGTGTCTCTGTCTTAACGCACGCGTTCTTCACACAACCCACGGGAGGACCCCTTAAACCATCGTGCTGTACATCTGTAACGACCGAATGTCTGTGTAAAAGAAAGAGCTTTGTAGCTCATCGGATTTCTCCAGCAGGCCACAATAGCTCAGTGGGCCTTACCTGGTAAAACAAAAATATATATTTTTTAATATATATAAGAATAGGTTTTACCCTTTCTGGCAATAAAACAGTTGTGTTAAGGTGTCCTAGCATGTTTTTGTGTTTGCATGTTCACCTCAAGTATGTGTGGTTAATGCAGGCAGGATTATTTGCAAAAGGTGTCAGTTTGGCGTTTTAACATCTTAGCACAACTGTTTTATTGCCAGAAAGGGGGTTACACATATTCTTATATTTTGATACTGGCAAGGGAGTTCCCATGTGATAGTTTTCTTTAGTTTAGAAGTTTTCCTCAAAATCCAGGTACTCGTTTTTGAAGCTGAATCGACCTCGGGGAAGGCGGGGGTGCCCAGAACCGGTGCAGATAATCATCACTGCTGTTGGTGGCCGTGAGTGGGGATGGAATTTGGGTCGCCGGGCTCGTTCGAAGCGCAGCGCGCTAATCGCTGTGCCACTGCTCGCTCCCCCCCCCCCCCCCCCCCCCACGATCGAAGCGCACAAAGACAATGATCCTCTCTGTGCAGACTTTTGGGTGCAAGTGCTGTTACCGAGCCACCTGCCGAGTACACCCACCCGCACGCGCACACCACGGCCAGGCATGCGCGCACACACACACACACACACGTGCGTATTCCCCTGCACTTAAAAACCCAGGTGAGAGACGGAGAGCGAGCGAGGTTAGAGAGAGTAAGAGAGAGTTCAAAGTGTTTGAAGAGGCAGCGTCCGGGTGTCCCCCATTGGCACGGCTCCACAAGCCCCCCCCCCCCCCCCCAAGTCTTGTGGAGGTTCTTTGTGTTGCACAAAAAAAAAACGAGAGAGAGAGGGAGAGAAACATTCTTTCCAAAGAAAGGCTTCCGTTGTGAACGCGGAGACATCGCCTCAATAGGGCACCAAGCAAGCAAGCGGCGCGCGTACCACGCCCGGATATCGCCGAGCGGCCTACACGGAAAAAAAAATACAAATGAAGGGTTGAATGAAAGTGAGCGAGAGGGGAGCGCCCGGAGAGAGTGGAAGCGCATTAGGCGCGTGACGGGGATTGAATTCCGATCGGCGCAATCACTTCGCAACGGCAGCGAGAGTGGAGGGTGAGCCGGTGGGTGGGGGGGGGGGGAGAGGCAATTTTGGTGAAGCACTGGGGGGCTGCAGCGCTAAGCCGGTCAGTTACCTCCCCATCCAAACTCAACTTGCTATCCTCCCCCTGCACCCCAACCTCCTCCACTCCACGAGTGGAACTCGCCGCCATCGCGAGCGGCTGACCGCGGCGAATGCTTTTACATCCCCGGACCTGCCAGAGCCACGTCCACTTGTGTGGATTATTATATTTTTGTTTTAACAAACAAAACTGTCGAATAAGTGGCGGTGAAATGCGGTAAATAGCCCGGCGGTGGCCGTGGCGGTCACGCTGCACCACATGGCATCGGCACGGTGGCTAGGAGATGTTAACAACCTCGCCTGATATCCAGGAGTGCATGGGTTCGATCCCGACCCTTGACGCCTGCTGTATATTTGGAGTTTGCATGTCTCTCTCTCCCCATCGTGGTGTGGATTTTTCTCCAGGTCCTCCGGTTTTCCCCCTGCACATTTAGAACCCATAACACGCATTTAGAAGCCATAACACGCGTTTAGACGCTTTACATCTCCACGTGATGATAAGCCACATTATTGAGCTTTCATTTGTTGCCAGGTAAGGTCCGTAAACCTTGCCTAGTAAAATGAAAAAAAATGTTTTTAGTTTTCAAGTCTAGCCAGGCTGTGGAGGCGGCAGCAGCAGGGGGGGGTTGGTGGATCACAGCACGAATGGCGTGTGCGTCGACCAGGAGGAGCCGTACCCTGGCTCGCCAGTTGAAGGCGGCGCAGCAAAAACGTGGACTTCCGACTGTTCCATCGGTATGGGATAGAGCGTTTCCCCCTTTGCACGCATGGGTTTTTCTCCCTGTGCTCCGGTTTCACCTTCGTGTATGTATATAGAGGACGGCAGAACTTGGGGGAGGGGTTGGCGGGGGAAATTGACGCCGGCGTCTCACCGCACGGCTGCTGCTTCCTCCCCACTCCGTCTGTGGTTCCTCCCCCTGGCTTCTCCGAGTCGGCCTTCTCTCCGAGTCGTCCTCCCTCGCTCCCTCCGAGAGCGAGCAAACCGCGTCGCCAAAGATGAAATGGCCCTTTACTTGACGATTTACACGTCTATTTTTTCTGGCTTCTCCAAAGTCTGTGATAATTCTACGTTGCGTTCCAGGTAGCAGTCGGTATTACAATCACAAAGTGTAATCCCCACCACCTCTTGTGCGTGTGTGAATGATGCTTGCCACACACCCCCTTCGTGTGCCGTGCCGGCCTTCACAGGTGCTGCTCGCTAACAGCACTTGCCCCAACAGTCTGTTAAAGGCTACACGGGGGATCTTTGTTTTTTGGTCGTTGGGGTCGTATAAGTCAAGGTTATTGATTTATTTGTCTCTGTAAACGTGGGGCACAGTTCTGGCACAAATCTGCCACCCAAAGCGCCATCACATCACCCCACATAAAAATAAACAATCCTATACAGTTTAAGCAAGCATAACAAGCAATTGGTGACTGTCAGTTAGTTGTACTTATGGGTCAGACACGAAGATATAGGCACACTGCTAGGTGGTGGGGGGGAGGGCGGGGATTAGCATATGATGCGCGATTTACATACCTATGATTGAATCGTACTTGCCTGCTTTGGTTTCGGTGAACGTGCAGGAGGTTTTTACGACGCCGGATGAGCCACCCCCGTTGATTCTCGCGTGGGGTTTGTTTGGCGTCGATTTTCTGCCGAGCGGGGATCCGTCACCTCTGACTTTCTGCCTCCCAAAAGGAGCCGCGTTGAGGTGCCGGTCGCAGCGAATTGGTGGGGGGGGGGGGGGCAAGGGCGGGGTCGTGGGGTCACGGGGTCGCGGTGTTCTGTATCACCGGCCTCTGTATAGGACAAACGTCGCGTCCATAACAAACATTCGATGTTGGGGGCCTTGCATTACTAAACTAAGCTATATATATTTTTTTATTTTACCAGGTTAAGGCCCACTAGGCTATATAGTTTTTTTTCAGAAGCGATCTGGCCACAAATGACAGTGCGAAGAAGTGGCTCATCATTGTGCGGAAATTTAAAGCGGCCAAAAAATACTATAAATGCACGTTGATTCTAAATGTGGACGGGAAAAACCGGAGGACTTGGATAAATATCCATGCGTCCACAGAGAGAAAACCTGCAAACTCCAAATACACAGCAGGTGTCAGGGTCGGGATCAAACCCACGACATCCTCCATACCAGGGCAAGGAATTTAACATCTTGCCACCACGGCACCCTGTTAACAGAAACACTCACTGTATTTGCTCTGCTAAATACCATTAAAGTACCAATTTTTAGAGGTCTCAAGGCGGATGGGAAATCGTCCGAATCGCCCTTTAAGGCTTGGCCTGTTGCTCCCCCACGGAGCGAGGGAAAGGGTTCCCCTCCACGTGTCCGTTGCCTGCTTATGACCTCTTGACCTCTGCGGTTGTCTCCCTGTGCGTGCACGCGTGTGTCTCGCCAGCACCACCGTGGCCATTCCCATGATCCCGTTGGGTCTCAAGGAGACGAAGGAAATCGACTTCACGACTGAAATACAGGTACGCCGCCGGCTTCACTCCGCGGTCACAGTCACCGTCAGCGGCTTGCGCTCGGAAGGTTGGGAGTTCAAATCCTGGTTGGTCGGGGGGTGGGGGTCAACTCGGCCCATCATCGTCATCAACATCATCATCCCTCCAGGGACGAGAAACTGAACGCCCCTTTGCGGGGGAAGTCATGAGTATGGTTGCCCTATGGATAGACTTGCCCCCTGCAATAGGAATGTGGAGTTTCAACCACTGGCCTCTGCAGGGCTGTACATGGGAGATGAGACGCTCGCACGACAATGCTCACTTTGCTCGTGGATTGCGTGACCTAACCTGCTCCCGATCATAAACTATAAAAACTTTTAAAACTACTGTAAACTATTTGATTCTAAATGTGGAGGGGAAAAAACCGGAGGACCAGGAGAAATATCCACACGACTGCGGGAGAGAGAGAGAGAGAGAGACGCACGCAAACTCCAAATATACAAGCATCGTCAGGGTCGGGATCGAACCCACGACCTCCTGCGTACCAGGTGAGGTAGCTAACATCTTCATAGTAATACAGCACAGCATTTGCTCGCGCTTTGTTTAAAAACGCCGGCAATAAACGTTTACGGGTTTCGAAATCTTGGGGTGCACCCCCCGCGGAATGCGGACGTGACACGTCGCAGCCCGTTATGGCGTTTGGCTTTAAACCGCTTCTGGGAAATAGAAGCCGCCAGGTTTTTTTTTTTTGCTCATCCGGGGGGGCGGAGTTGAGTCGCGTCATCCGTTTTTTCCCCGAGGGTGGATTTCGTTGAACCAGGTGAGAACGCGACGGACACCACACATTTCTCGTCTCATTTGCAAGAGTTTGACCTTTGCGGGGGGGGGAAGCGCAGGAACACGAATCCCATTGTTCCCAACCCGGGGTCCGAGCCCAGTGACCCGGCTGGTGAGAAGTCGACCGTTTGCCGATGCTACGATTGACACGATTCGGAGCCGCGTCATCCTTTGGCAAAAAAAATCATTTTTTGTTGGCGCGCGGTCGTGACCCGCGGACATCTGCGCAGCGTCGTGGCAGCGAGCGGCGTTGGGAATCGCAGCGGCGTTGGCACCTTGAGCGGCGGGGTGGGGGGGGGGGGGGCTCTTGTCTTGCGCAATCGCGCTGCAATGCTTCGCTCGCTGCGTTTTTCGCTCTGCAGGAATTCATATGCGAGCACTACGGAGAGGACGGGTCCAAGTACCTGCCCGAAATAAAGGAATTCATGGCGCTGAGACAGGTGCGACGTGGCGTCACATCACACGCGCGGGCATCATACACGCCATCACCAATGCCGCCCCCTCGCTCCCGTTAGCGCACTCCAGCCACGTGAAGATGGCACCATCTGGGCGTTGTTTGGCCGTTTCTTGGACGGGCGTTGCTCTCCACGGCGGGGCCTCCGAAGTGGCTTTCCCAGTAGATGGCACTGCACCCAACGCATTCAATCCATCCGTGCGGAGTTTTGAGAGTGTCGCCCCCTCGTATGCGTGGTGGGGGCGGCCGTTTTCCGGACACGTCTAACCGTGCCCACTCGCCACCTTGCTCGCTATACTTTGGGGGTGGGGGGGCGGAACCAGCTGCCCCCCCCCCTTTCCCCCTGGCCCTGTTGTTGAGTGACCACCCCCCTGCCCCCCGCAATGTGTCCGTGGCACCCCCCCCACCCCCGCCTCCTCGCCGTAGGCTGCGCGCACTCCGACGCGGGACGAGGCCGGCCTGGGCCTGCTCATGGAGTACTGCTCGCAGCTGGCGGCGGCCGAGGCGCGCTTCTTCCCCCCGTATCGCAGGACGAAGATTCGCTTCACCTGGTGAGCGCTCGCCCCTCCGCTCGCCCACCTATGGACCGTTGCGTCCAGTGGTGCGGTGCTCACCGGTGCGCCGCGGCGGCGGCGGTGGCGGCAGTCCTCCCGTTGCTCTCGATGTCTCGCGTGTGCAGCTGGTTTGTGGGGCTTCGTGGAAATGTGGGTGGCAGGGGGGGGGGGGGGGTTGGGCAGCGTTCAGAGTCTTGGGTCCACTGCGTTGCGGAAAGAATTCCGCGCGATTTCTCATTTCGTGGGAGCACGAGAGAGGCTTTCGAGGCTCTCCCCTCTCTCTCTTTCTTTCTCTCATCCAAGCTCTTCCCAGGAACCTTGGGAAGGTTATCTCACTGCTGTTTACATTAAAGCAACCCTGGCGGCGGCGGTGGTGTTGGTGATGGGGCTGTACCCCACGCATTTATAAACAAACTTGACGGGAGGTGGCCCCCGTGGCTCGGAGGTCAGAGGGCAACAGCCAAAACCGTTGAGAATACCTGGGTTTGATTCCGGGTTTCAGCAACAGCCTATGGTTATGTTAAACCGGGTCTCTCAAGTGCGGCGAGTTGTTGGTCTCAGCCCGGTTATAAATCACTAAATGCTAAAAAGTATACAATCGCATTAAATTTGGTTCTGCGCTTGATTTGGCTAAATTCCAGCTCCCTGAGAATGAAAACATCGGTTTGACTCGTGCCGAGCATTGCTCTCATATGGCAGAGCGGGTGGGACAGTGCTGCCCTCTGCTGTGTGTGTGTGGACCAGAGGTCACCTTGAAGAAGGGGATCTCTGAGGTGACTGTGATAGCCGGTTCCGCGGGCTGTCGTCTTAACACGTGACGATTGATAGCCGATTTCGCGATCGGGATACAACTGTCCAGAAGTTAACACCAGAAAACACCTCATGGTTGGTTATCCTTTGCCGGTACATGCATAGTCATCACTCAGTGGATATCCTGGGCCGTCCGAGGAATGTGGAATAGCCAACTCTGTGTAAGTCCGCAAGTCTATGCACAAGTCATTGGTGATCAACTCTCTATGCTTGAGAACCTGGTTTAATCACATTCTACTCGAATCTGTAGATTTATATGTTAGCCAATGGGTCTCTATGTAAGGATGTGGGTCTCTATGCGAGTTTTTTGGGTCTATATGTAAGTCTATAGATCTGTGTAATTCTATGGGTGTATGTGTATGTCTGTGGGTTTCTATGTAAGTCTTTGGGTTGCTGTGTAAGTCCATGGGCCTCTGTGTAAGTACGTAGGGTTTTATGCAAGTCTATGGGTCTCTGTGTAAGTCTGTGGGTCTCTGTGTAAGTCACTGGTGATCGGCCTGAGACCATCAACTCTCTCCTCTCGAGAAATCCGACCCAGCCCTGTGTCCATACCCCTGAGCTGCTGGACCACTTCCTGTGGTTGTTGTCATCATCGTCGCCATTGTCGTCGTCGTAGTCATCGTAGTCATTGCCAGTCGTCGTCGTCATCACCATAGTAGTCGTCATCATCATTGTCCCCGTCGTGGTCATCATCGTCCTCATCATCGTCGCCACTGTTGCGATCGTAGTCGTCGTAATCATCGTAATTGTGATCGTCGTCGTCGTCGTCGTCGTTGTAATCATCGCCGTCGTGGCTGTGCAGGTGCGACTCTCTGTCGGGGCTGCCCTGCGAGGACCGGGAGGCTGGGTTTGAGCGAGCGAGCGTACTGCTCAACGTGGGAGCCCTCTACACGCAGATCGCCGCGCGCTGCGACCGCACCGCGCTCGCCGGCATCGACAGCGCCATCGCCGCCTTCGAACGCGCCGCCGGTACTCGCCTACCTCGTCACATACTCGCGTACCCGCCTGCCTGGTCACGCACTCGCCTACCTAGTCACGCACTCGTCTACCTCGTCATGCACTCGCCTACCTAGTCGCGCACTCGCCTACCTAGTCGCATACTCGCATACCCGCCTGCCTGGTCACGTACTTGCCTGCCTGGACACGTACTTGCCTACCTAGTCACGCACTCGCCTACCTCGTCACGCACTCGTCTACCTAGTCGCGCACTCGCCTACCTAGTCGCATACTAGCGTACCCACCTGCCTGGTCACGCACTCGCCTACCTAGTCACGCACTCGCCTACCTCGTCACATACTCGTGTACCTGCCTACCTGCTCGCCTACCTGCTTGCATTCTCGCATACCCACCCACCGATTCACAGACCTGCCCACCAGCCCACCTGTTCACGTACAAACCGACCTCCCCACTCTCCCATCCATTCTTCTTGGATTTCCTGAAATGTCCCCATCACGCCCGCTTCGGTCACAAGCAGCCTATCTTCTCGCTGACCCTCCTCCACCCTGTGCCCAGTCCCGCTTTCACTCCTTCTCGCTGCTTGCCCCCTTACAGCGGAACAAACCTCCCTCTCCACATCCGACTCTCCCCCCCGCTCCCCCTCGCTTTCCTCTTTCCGCACTGCCCTCAGGTCGTCCTATCTCTTTTCTCTACCTCGCCTTTTCCCTTCCTCTACCCCTACCAGCACCACCCAACGCCCCTGATGCCTCCACCTCGCTCCCTCCGCCCTAGTCACTACCTGATCCCCACCGTTTAACTTGCCATTTTGTACTGTAGTCGCCAAGCATTGTTCAGCGCCTTGGTGAAAGGCGCTTTATAAAAGACAAAATAGAATGGAATTTACCCTCCTCCACCAACCCTAACCCCTGCCGCTCCCCCCCCCCCTCCCCAGGTGTGCTGAGCTACCTGGCGGAGGCGCTGCCGCACCCTCAGACGGCGGACCTGTCGCCCGCGTGCCTGGCCCTGCTGGTGCGCGTGTGCGCGTGCCAGGCGCAGGAGTGTGTCTTCGAGCGCTTGTGCCACGCGGGCCTCCACAACGACTTCCACTCGCTCCTCACGGCCGCGCAGGAGGCCGCCAAGGTGGGCACCGGCCCCGTTCTCCCGCTCTCTCGCCCGTTTCCTTGCTTGCTCGCCCACTCGCTCACTCGCTTGCTCGCTCACTTTCTTGCTTGCTTGCCCGCTCGCCCACTTCCTCGGTTGCTCGCTCGTCCACTTGCCTGCTTGCTCACCCGCTCGCTCGCCCACTTGCTTGCTAGCTCGTCCGATTGATTGCTTGCTCGCCTGCACGCTCGCCCATTTCCTTGCTCGCTCGCACGCTCGCCTGCTCGCTCACCCAACTGCTCGTCTGTTCACCCCAAGTCACCCGCTGCATGGTTCGCCCGTTCGCGGAGTCGTCCACTCGCCCGTCGAGGTCGACGTGGCCGGGGTGGTTCGTAGTGGCACCAAGTCACCACTGCTGAGTTCAAATCATGGATGCGGCGGTCGATTTGGCTCATTATCCCTCCGAGGTCTATAAAACGGTTACCACTTTGTGAGGACGTTATGGCCCTTGCCATAACAATGTGGATTTGCCACCACCTGCTCCGCCGGGCTGTAAACTGAATATGAGCACCGCCTGAATGCACAAAATCGGTTCGCTGCGCTACGAAGCCGGTAACCTGAGTTTGATTCCCGCTCATGGCCAACTTTTTGGTGGTGACAGTTATCCGAACCGGGCCTGAGCTATACAGAAGCGACCTGGCCACAGATGATCGCTCAATGAAGTGGCTTATCACGTGGAAATTTTAGGCGGCCAAATACTCTAAACGCACGCTGCTTCTAAATGTAGAATAAAAACTGGAGGGCCCGGGGAAAAATCCACCCGACCACGGGGAGAACATGCAAACTCCAAATATACAGACATTGTCAGAGGTGGAATTGAAACCAACGACCTCCTGCATACCAGGCGAGGTAGTTAAAATCTCGCCATCCTGGCGCCCCTGATGTGTAAACATTACCACTGGGAGAGACAAAGAAAGCCAGGTGTAGTGCTGGCCACAAATCCTCCTCTCCCCCAACCCTTACCTCGTGCATCTTCCCGGCCTCCGCTGCTCCTCGCTCAGAATCGGCAATTTCCCCAACCGTCTGCCGAAGGCTACACGGGGGGGGGGGGGGGGGTGGGGGAATCTTTGTCTTTGACACGTGGTCCTGGCTGCACCGGGGGCAGGTGGCGGAGGACTACACGGGAGTGGTAGGCGCCATGCAGCAGCCGGAGCTGGCGGAGGTGCTGCCCTTCTGCTGGAAGTCGCTGCTCAAGGCCAAGTCGGAGCACTTCGGCGCCGTCGCTCACTACTACCTGGCGCTCGCACTGCTCGACCACGCACGTGAGTCATCGCTGGGGCCTGGGGGGTGGGACAAGGTGGCGGGGGAGGTGGTGGGGAGGTGGCTTAGGAGGTGGATGGGGGGGTGGCGGGGGAGGTGGATGGAGAGGTGGCGGGGGAGGTGGCGGGGGAGGTGGATGGGGAGGTGGCTTAGGAGGTGGATGGGGAGGTGGCGGGGGAGGTGGATGGGGAGGTGGCGGGGGAGGTGGCGGGGGAGGTGGCGGGGGAGGTGTATGGGGAGGTGTATGGGGAGGTGTATGGGGAGGTGTATGGGGAGGTGTATGGGGAGGTGTATGGGGAGGTGGATGGGGAGGTGGATGGGGAGGTGGATGGGGAGGTGGATGGGGAGGTGGATGGGGAGGTGGATGGGGAGGTGGATGGGGAGGTGGATGGGGAGGTGGATGGGGAGGTGGATGGGCCATGGTTAATAAGGTGCCACGGTGGTGAGATGTCAACTACCTCGCCTGGTATGGGTTTGATCCTGCATGTCTGGATTTTGCGTGTCTCTCTCCCCGTGGTCACGTGGCTTTTCCTGCGAGTCCTCTGGTTTTTCCCTGCACATTTATAAACACGTGTTTTAGGGGATTTGGCTGCGATATATTTCCATGCAATAAGCCACTTCATTGAGCTATCATTTGTGGCCACTTCTGAAAAAGAAGCTATTAGCTCAGTGGGCCTTACCTGGTAAAATAAAAATACATAATATTTTAAAATTGCTCCAAGCAAGCCTGGTGGATGATGGGGGAGTCACCCACCCACTCTGCGCAGGTGGGTGTCGACATTTTGTGCTTTTTTTTGGGGCAAATTTTGACCTTTACCCTGAACATCTCGACCATTGCCGTGATCGTCGCTGTGAACTTTGCCTTGATGACCGTGATCGCGGCCATTTCTGTGACCACCGTGACCATCGGTGTGACCGTTGCCATGACCACCGTGACCGTGACCGCCGTGACCATCGGTGTGACTGTGACCGTAACCACCGTGGCCATCGGTGTGACTGTGACCGTAACCGCCGTGATCATCGGTGTGACTGTGACCGTGACCATGACCATTGGTGTGACTGTGACCGTAACCGCTGTGACCATCAGTGTGACTGTGACCGTAACCGCTGTGACCATCGGTGTGAGTGTGACCATAACCACCGTGACCATCCGTGTGACTCTGACCGTAACCGCTGTGACCATCGGTGTGACTGTGACCGTAACCGCCGTGGCCATCAGTGTGACTGTGACCGTAACCACCGTGACCATCGGTGTGACTGTGACCGCCGCCACCGCCGCCACGCGACCATCGCCGTGACCGATCTCTCCCCCGTCTCTTACGTCCGCAGCGGCGCCGGGCGAGGACTCGCGCGACCAGGAGAAGGCCCTCATGGACGTTCACGAGACGCTGCCCGAGGGACCCTCCATGCACGTCGTCGTGACGAACCGCGACGAGCGTACCAAGCTAGGTACATGTCTACAGCATTTGTTGCCGTCATCGGCATCGTTTGTTGTCGTCGTAGTTATTTCGGCCGATGTCGTTGTTGTCAGCTTCATCGGCGTCATCGCTGCCGCCATCATCGTCTCTCCATCATCATCAATCGGTAAATTTGCCGAGGCCCCAAACACCCCATCATCATCAACATCGTCGTCGTCGTCATCATCATCATTGTTCCCTTAGCCTATGCGCTTTAGGTCCACATTGGTCGGATCAAAGGATTATTGTTATCAATAGTTTTATCGTTATCATCAATCATCGTCATCAATGGATCATGAATTCTTAGTGCCTGAACACCTCAACATCATCATTACCTTAATTATAATCGTTACCATACACATCATTATTACCTTCGATATCATCATTATTATCATTGCCATTGTTATCACCTTCATTATCATCATCATCATTGCCATCATTATCTTTATTGTCATAAGCACCTTCGTTATCATCATTCCTTTGACATCATCACCATCACTATTGTCATTGCCACCGATTGGCATTGTCTCAAAGCGCTTGCGCACCCCCACACTAAATAAAATGCTCTAATTGTTCATGAGGCGTCCACTGTAAAATGGACGTCCTCAAGTCAAGGGTCCTAGCACGTTGCCACGGGGACAGGGGTCAAGCGTTAACCACGAGGGGTCACCATGGAGACGCGGTTCTGAGTGCTGCTCTCAGGTGATTCAAGGGGAACATTCCCCGACGTTCCCTCAGGACGTTGAAACGCCACGAGCGGGGAAGGGGGAGGTGGCCGAGTGATTCACGATGGTCGTGCCTAAAACCTCGAGCCGCCATGGCTAAGATCTTGGGGTTCGAATCCGGGGTTCGCCCTGCCCGACCGCAGCGGTGAAACCGGGGTTCGCGAGTTGCAGCGAGTTGGTGGTCTCGGCCCGGTCTCCGGTGACTGCACACAAAAAAAATCCAGCACATTTTATTTGGTTCTGCACTAAAATTTGGCTACATTCTATCTCTGAGAATTTAATACATCGAGTAATGCAACGAAATCAGTCCCTGTGGCAAGGTGGGTAGGAAAGTGCTGCCCTCTGATGTGTGTCGACCGGAGGTCTCTTGAAGGGATCTCGGAGGTAGCTCTGTGACATCCGCTTCCGTGGGGCCATTCCCTAACACGAATGACTGCACACACAAAAAAATGTCCGTAAAATAATCCTCAGTGTCGTTGTGGAGAATATAAATAGTTAAATAGATTGGCAGACAATGCCCTCTTCACACACACACATCTCTTCACGTGACAAATAAAATTATTTATTACACAACCAATTAGACCCGTAGCCTTCTGGAAGTGTATTATTTCAGCAGCATCCGTTCTGTACAAGCAAACTCCGGACCAAATGTTGAATTCGGTCCAGATTTTGCTCGAATGCGTTTTCAAATGAAGCAATTGGCGGGACCACGGGGTCCCATCACTGCCCCGGGGTGGGAAAAACTGCGTAGCGACACGAGTCTTGCCTTACCGACAACAAAACTAGTGTCAATCGATTGGCCTCGTCGAGAGCTACTCGGGGCACTAAGTTTCGTAAAAAGTTTAAAAAATTACATAAACACGTTAAATTCACTGCCTGGGGGGTGGGCTCGCCTTGGCAAGGAAGCTGAGGATCGACGGCTGGCGGAGGGCGTTGTCGCCGCGCGCGACTGCGGCGTACGCCCCCCGGGCTTGCATTTGGCCGGTGGGATGGCGCCCATCGTGTCGATTACCGCCTGCTGGCGCTTGTTGGCGCGAGTCTGGGCGGGCGGCGCGTTGCTGTCGGGGTCACGACTGGGCGGACTGAAAAATAATAATTATTGACCCGATTTTTGCGGGACCCCGGGGTCCCGCCAAATGATTCAAATGTAGGGAGTTACTTTTGTTCCTCTTCACCTGCCCGTGTCTCCCTTCCCCTGCTCGTGTCTCCCCGTGTCTCCCTTAACCTGGCCGTGTCACCCCGTGTCTCCCTGCCGTGTCTCCCCGTGCAGCGTTGGGCCACCTGAGCAAGGCGGTGTGGCGGCACGAGGATGCGGTGCGCACCGCCGAGCTGTGCCGCTCTCTGCGGAGGCTCGGCAACCTGCAGAACTTCCTGGCCACGGCGCGCGACCAGGCGAAGGCGCGGCTCGCCAAGTTCCAAACCGACGGTGGCTTCATCAACGCTTCGGAGGCCCCCGAAATTGCCCGTGCGTATTTCTCTGTGTGTGTGTGTGTGTCTCTGCGTGGGGAGTGGTAGCGTAGCAGTTAGCGCGCGCTGCACTACGAACCCGGCGAACCGAGTTCGATTCCCACTCGCGGCCAACACCAACGACGAATATCTGAACTGGTCCTGGGCCTCCCCTAGGTCGACGCGGTCTTAAATGTGTACCTGGTACGGTGCGTAAACATCGCCGTTGGGGAGACAAAGGCGGTCGGGCGTGGTGCTGGCCACCCACCCACCTTGTATACCACGTCGCTAACAGCACTTGCCCCAACAGTATGTTAACGGCTATACGGGGTAACTTTGTGTTTGCGTGCGTGTGTGCGGGGGTGCGTACGTGGGCTGCCGTGGACGTCCGTGCTTTTGAGAGAGTGCGCACGTGAAGCAGCTGTCGACAACTTGGCAAAGCGAATCGTAATTCCAGGAACGCGTGCCGGCCGCTGCGTTTGCTCAACTCCAACGTTTGCGTCGCCGACTCTCGCGGTCCCGCGAAGCGCCGCGATCCGTCCATCCCGCTCCCACACACCGACCTCCTTTGCTCCATCTCCACGGCGGTGGTCATCGCCTCGGGGCGTGTTTTTCGCCTCCGGCTGCCACTCCAACTCCATCATCGGAATCTTGATTTGGGCTGCACGAGGAATCCGATGAGCTATGAAGCTCCTTTTCACAGGTGTCCAGGCGGGGGGGGCGGGTCAGCGAGATACAATACTGGGGATCTTTGTCTTTGTGTGCGTGTGTGTGTGTGTTTAAGAGAGGCAATGTACGCGTGTTTTTTTCACTGTTGGCTACGTATGGTATGAAATAAATTCTACAGACACATTGACAAAGGTTCACAGGTTATTATTTTTGTTTTACCTGGTTAAGTAAAGGTGAAATAAAATTGAAGGCCGGCACTGCTCGATGAGAGTTCTGAGCGAATTTCTCCGTTGATGACGCGGTGCCAACGGCGCGACTGGGATGACGTCGGGGGAGGGGGGTGGGGGCGAGGGAATTACCGCAAGAACAAAACGCGATCGAATGTTCCGCCCTCTCTCATTTCGCCAAAAACAGCGGAAACCCATCACAACCCAGAACTGAAGCCCCCGGTGTTCGACAAAGTGGAGGGCACAGACATCTTCCGCCGGCTGGTAAGACGCCGCACCTCCATCTCGCACCTCGTTACATCGTCGCCGTCATCGTCAGTGCCGTCCTTGTCATCGTCATGATATTCAGTGTTGTCATCATCATCATCATCATCGACCGTCGCGTCTTCATCATCACCATTGTCATCGACGTTACCATCATCATCGTTGTCATCGTTTACAATGATCAGTGTTATTGTCATCATTATCATAATCAATGTCGTCGTCATCACCATCATTGTCATCATCAGTATGATCGTCATCATCATCATCATCGTCGTCAAGCAATCGCAAAGGCTGCACCACAGAGCGGGGATAGTGTGGGTTGCCCTCTCATCATTCGCTCGGTCCTCATGACGTGACCTCCTGACCCCCCTCGGCGGTCACATTGTGTTGATTGTCACGCGTGGCTCGCCATCTCACCGCTGCGTGTTGTCGTCTCCGTGCACCCAGGGCCCCCTGTCAGTCTTCTCGGCCAAGCAGTGCCTGAGCAAGCCTCGCAAGGTGCACCTGTCCAAGCCGGCGGAGGGATACGGCATGCGGCTCGGCGGCGATTCGCCCGTCCGCGTCGTGCTGGTCCAGCCTGGGAGCGCCGCCATGGTAAACGGGCGCAACGTCATTTTAACCGCGCTCAACTTTTAACCTCCTGGCTTGGACGTTCTTCCACCCTACTCCTCCTCGAAGGCACGGGCATCATCGGAAACATCGTCAGCAGGCCGATACGCATTTCCCCTTCGTGAATGAAAAATTAGAGACACAAGCCAAAGCAGTGCCACTGTGGCCATGCAACTCGAACTATAGACCAGACAATAAATCCATAGTGATACATGGCGATGATAGATCGAGATACACATAGATACCCTGAAGACAAGCCAAAGTAGTGCGATTATGGCCATGCAACCCAAACTTTGGACCGTATTGTAAACCCACTGTGGTCTGGCCTCTTTCGATGGAGGAGGAGGAACAGCGACACGAACTATCTCTCGTGGCCCGCAGCAGCAGGCCTCTACACTTTCACGTTGACCTCATTTCCGCCACACACACAAGAATACAACAGAACCATGTTATATGTGTGGCTTAAGCAAAAGTACATATGTATGCTGAACGATATCAATACATTTTGTTTCCAATTTAGCTTTTATGTAGCCAGGTGGCTCAGCGATAGAGCGAGCGGCGAGTTCAAACCCTGTTCGGGGGGGTAGGGGCGGGATGTGACTGAGCCCCATCATCTCTTCGGGGTCGATAAAATTAAATACCGGTTTGTGGATAAGTCAACGGTCGGTTGCCCTATTGACCTGCCTCACCCAGGTTGACCCTGGCAATCCCGAGGCTCGATTTCAAGCCACGGCCGCCACCTTCATTGTCGAGCGACTTCCGAATCAGTCCTGGACCCAGGTCCGCGGGCGATCCATCGCCTTGATCGATGACGGGGCCTGCCGCGTGTTGTCTTTATCGCCACGGTTCTCAGCCGATGCAGAGAGAGCGACCGGGTCAAAGACATCCATTTAATGCCGCATCGATCACACGAATGGGCGGCCTGATGGGACCGGCTGCTCACCGGAATATCGATCGATTAGCAGAATTATGAACGGCGCGTTTAAAATTAACGTTTACCAAGAAAGTTTCGGTGTGCCGACGCTGATTGATTGTTATTGGGCCCGGCGTTGTGAATGATGGCCGTATCCTTGGCAGGTTGATTAGAATGAAAAGTAATTTGGTGGTGCGGGACTGGCTGGGTGTACGCGAAGCCCGTTCAGGGAGCTCACCCATTCAGGAATTGTAATCGCTATTTGTCTCGCTAGTGTTTTACAACGTGCGACATTCCCGCACACTTGGCCAACGTAGAACATCGTTATTATTTACATCGGTCGCTCGTTCACTTGCTCTCACTCCCCAGCTATTGTGGATAGGATTAAACGGATTCCTTAGTGGTGATGATGCTGCTGCTGATGCTGCGTTGGCAGTGACTTGAAATCAACACATAACAACTATTCGACTCGTTCGTCAATCACTACACAACCCTGTGTGTGTTGCCTTGAAAAGGGGAAAAAAAACCTATAATAATTATAAAAAAAACGATCATAATTATTTTAAAAACTATAATAATTATTATAATAAATATTATAGTTTTTTCTTCCCTTTTTTAAAATGCAAATTCGATTATAATCGAATTTTCGGGCCAGGTCCCATCTTCATGGCACAACGGTTTCCCAAAACGTCATCTTTTGTTTTTTTTAAAGGCATTGCTATCGACGAATGCGAGCCGTTGTTGTTGCCGTTGTTGTTGCCGTTGTTGTTGCCGTTGTTGTTGTTGTTGTTGCTCGTGCAACGCCACTGCCATCGCAGCATCGCCAAAACACTTTGCTTAAAACGGAACAAGTGGATCGTGCAGGACAACACGGCGGCCACCCTAACAATCGGCTGCCCCCCCCCCCACTCCGCTCCCCCACTCCTCCACACCCCCACACCCCGCCCCGCGCTGTGCTCCTGCCGGCTCTTCCCCCCCCCCCTTAGCGATCGGGCATCAAGGAATGTGACTACATCATCGGGGTCGGAGGTCAGGACTGCCGCTGGTTGGGTCAAGCGGCCGTCGCCGACCTCATGACCCAAGCCGGGATCGCTGCGGTGGAGGTGGAGGTCGTGACCCCGCTAAGGTTGCTCACCTTCAGCGAGGGCTCGCCGGTGAGGGCTTTGGACGTAGAGGGTGGTGGTGCGCGATGATAATGTGGGTCACGGTGTTCCCGTGTGTGTTTGTGTGTTGGCCACCCACCCCCTCGTGTGCCCGTACCATGCCTTCACAAGTGCTACTCGCCAACAGCACTTGCTCCTACAGTCTGTTCAGGCTATACGTGGCGTCTATTTCTTTGTAGTGTTGTGGTTACGAACCGGGTGACTCACGTTCGATTCCCGCTAACGGCCAACACCAGTGGCGATTACTTGAAACGATCCTGGGCCTCCTCTAGGTCGACTCATTTTAGGCTGAGTACCTGGTGCGGTGTGTAAAACATCGCCACTGGGGAGACAAAGGCGGCCGGGCGTGGTGTTGGCCATCCACCTCGTCGTGTGTCGTGCCGGCCTTCAGAGGTCTTCGCTAACAGCACTTGTCCTAACAGTCAGTGGCGATGTTTACACACCACACCAGGTACTCATTTGAGGCCGAGTCGACCTCGGGGAGGCCCAGGACCGGTTTAGATCATTTTCACTGGTGTTGGCCATGAGCTGGGAATTGAACTCGAGTCGCCGGGTTCGTAGGGCAGCGTAGCGCTAACCGCTACCCCACCGCTCCCCACACTCTTACAAACACCCCCTTACACACACACACACTCGCATACTCTCTTGTACTCTTACTCGCACCCTTTTGACACTACTTGGGTGGATCGAGGCGGTTCGCGACTGCCGCGCCCGGAGATAGGAGATCGACTCGGTGACCTCTGGATATCACGTCCAGTGCGCTGCGAACCGTTGCACTACGGCTAAATAGCCTCGAACATTTTGTTGCCAGTAAATTAGCTTCCTCCCGAGAACGGTTGATAAATAAAATAACGCCCGATTTTTGTGAAAAATTAAACTCATCACCTTGAACCGAATCTGCTTTCATTTCCACGGGGGGACGGGGAGGGATATTACATTAATTCTGTTTATTTCCCCGGTGTATTTATGGGTTTGAAAGACTTGGCAGCCCATTGAAGATGCGTTTTATTTGCGTCGTCGGGGTGCATTTCTCCGTTGTAAGCTGTCTTTGATGAAGAGACCAGCTGTGTGTGCTGCATCTGTGTCGTTATCTATCGGGGGGGGGGGGGGGGGGGGGGGAGCGGTAGTGTTGTGGTTAGCGTCGCTGCGCCGCGAACCCGGCGACCCGAGTTTCGATGCCCCGCTCACGGCCAACCAACACCGGTGGCGATTATCTGAACCGGTCCTGGGCCTCCCCTAGGTCGACTCAGCCCTCAAATGAGTACCTGGTGAGACAAGGCGGCCGGGCGTGGTGCTGGCCACCCACCCCCTTGTGTGCTAACTCGCTAACAGCACTTGCCCCAACGGTTTTTTCAGGCTACACGGAAGGGATCTTTTGTCTTTGTTTACGTATACGGTAAACCCGGCCTTAAACGGGCACCTGGTGCGGTGTGTAAACATCAGCGCTGGGAAGACAAAGGCGGCCGGGCAGGCGTTGGTGCTGGCCACTCGCACGTTCACCGTGCCGGTCTTATTAGGCGCTCGCTAACAACACTTACCCCAACAGTCTGGTGAAGGCTATATGGGGGCGTCTTTGTATGTGTGTTTTGAGCAAGACACACACACAGTGACGAGCGATGATTTTGATTCCCACTAACGGTAAACATCAGTGACAAATATCAGCACTGGTCCCTGGGCTTTCCCCGGAGGTCTCCACTCGGCCTTAAAGGAGAACCTGGTGCACCGTGTAAATATCAGCATTGGGGAGACAAAGGCGGGTGGGCGGGCAGGCGTGGTGCTGGGCACCCACCCCCTCGTGCGCCACAGTGCCGGCCTTCATAGGTGCTACTCGCTTAACAGCACTTGCCCCGACAGTCTGGTAAAGGCTACACGGGGAATCTTTGCCTTTGTAAATCTCGTGACCTTGTATTTACGTCCTGTTGACTCAAGCAACCATTAATTTCACTCCTTGTATTATTTACAACCGCCCTTTGCTCTCGCGATATATTTTTTTACATCAACACTTTTATTATTTTTTTTTGGTGGTGGGGGGTGGGACTATTTATGGCTATCAATGTTCTGAGGAAACGCATATAAAATGCTCATAAATGTATAATCGTAGGCCACGTTGGATGGGGGTGGATGTCTCTCTAAGTCGGTGTTATGTCAACGCATTTTATTGGAGCAAGAAAATTGGTTTCTTTTGGCCCAGTCCACAGGCTTTTGAGGCACGCACAAATAAAAAGATCCCCCCCCCCCCCTCGTGTGTAGCCTGCACCGGTTGTTGCGGCAAGTTCTGTTAGTGAGCACCTATTAAGGCTGACGCGACGAACGAGGGAGTTGTGTGGATAGCACCACGCCCGACCATCTTTGTCTCCTCAGTGCTGATGTTAACACCACACAAGGTACTCATTTATGGATGGACCTAGGGGAGGCCCAGTACAGATTCTGATATCACTAGCCACTGATGTTAACCATGGCCAGGAATTGGACAGTGGTCATTGGGCTCATAGTCAAGTGTGCGAACCACTGTCATACCGCTCCCCGCCATGTGCAGTGGTGGCTTTTTCTGCTGGCAGTGACCTTGGCAGGAAATTGCAGGGCTGCACCTTTAACCTTTTTCAGCTTCACAAACCTTCGCTGCGCTGTTAAAAACAATAATCGTTTCTCGTGGCTGCGCCGCTTCCTCGGACGGACATCGGCTCCTTTCGGTGTTGTTCGGTGATTGCTGACCTCTGACCCCGCCTGTGTTTTTCCCGCCGCCGTCCATCGTCTTCAGGAGCAGCGGCGGATCGACAGCAGCCCCAGGCCGCTCGCCACGGGCACCATCACGGGCGCGTCGACGCTGACGAGCGGCGAGCGGGTTCGCGGGCGCAAGACCCTGCGCGACAAGGTGTCGTCGCTCTTCGGGCGCAAGAAGAGCCGCCCCAAGAGTGTGCCCGGCACGCTGAGCAGCATGTTCGACAGGACCAAGGACTGGCGCGGGTACTGACGCGCGCGGGTCGACCCGTGGCGCCGGACGAGCCGTCGGAAAAAGGAACCGATTTCTCCCGCGCCTGCCGCCTGCGGAGCGTGAATGTCGACCGCTTGGGATTGTTGCATGCGAACGATCTTACTTTGTGCCTTGAGGATGACGGAGCCGGCGAGACTGTGGGCGATATGATGGTAAAAAAAAGCAATAAAAACGAGATGGTGACGGGACAGGGACGCGGGACCGGGGCGGGGGAGGGCAAAGAATCGTTCATTTTATCGATTTTTTTTGAGCACGAGTTCCGACAATTCATCGAATCGCTGGGTCGGTGAATTGTTGCGTGTCAACCGAACAGCCTTGGTCGGTGTGCAGGCAGTGGCAACTGCACCGGGCTCGGGTGCCGCTAGGGTTCCAAGGCCGACAATCCGCCATTACTACACCCCTTTTTTTGCCGCCTTAATTCTACCAATCGACAGGGGGTGTCGAACTTGAACGGCGTGCGCGCCGGTGTAGGCCGCACGTGCGCGACCCTGTTCCGTGACATTATTTAACAGCGGATTGGACGGCCTGCAAAGCTAGACTGCGGAAACCACCCACCCCGCTCCCCCCCTATAGGGACTTGATGTACCGAATCTGTGCCGAGTCTGTTCCCTTTGTGGTTTGAATTCTGGGTCTTCACTCTGTGGTAATGCCGCAAGGTGGCCCTTGTTGCTACCGGCAGCGCCGTTCAATGAATAAATAAAGCGTCAAAATCCGACGTTCATTTCTCGGTCACGTGATAAAAACTCATTTGTCTTTCTCAAAAACTCGAGGTTTCATACCTTCAAACGAGATGACTCCTTTTTTTTTTCTTGAAGAAAAGAAACTTTCAAAAGGAATACAAATTAATATTGTTCTTATTATATGAATTGTTGCTGTTTTAATATTTATTTTTTAAGAATGTAATGTAAAAAAAAAAGGTTGGGAGGGGGTGTAAAAGAGAACGCGCCGAACCGCAATCGCTCCCGTGGTATGGTTTTGTCTGTGGTCGACGGCTGCAACTGATCGATTGCGGTCACAACTTTGAAGGCGATGACCGTGGCACCGGCATGTTTTTTTTTGTGGGAGCTTTGAGATGCCTTCACCATGCGCACACTCGCGGATTCTTCACGCAACTGCGGCTGTGTTTGTACCGGGTTTCGGACTGCGATCGATCGACACGATCGGCAGCGTTTGTATGCGTGGTCAGCCTGCTCTTTACTTGCATTCATCTGTTTTTTTTTCTTTCTTTCAAATGTCCATGTTATTTATTCGTTTTGTCTCATTGCATTTGTTAAGGCGCTGGTGCAGGACCCATCAAAAGACATTTGACTGTTCAGTAAAGCAAAAGTGGGCTTGGGCAGGGACACGTCGTGGCTCAGAAGAAAGTCGATGGCCGGTAGTCAATGTTGAGGACGGAGTGGCAGCCAATGGAGGGAGCACACCCAGGAGGCATCGATCGTGGAGATGAAGCTATGAAATGGGCTCGTGTGTAGGATCTAGACAGATTTTTGGAAGATGATGATGGCTTGGTAGGAGGCCTTCATGTAGCAGTGGATAGATCATAGCTGATGACGATGACTAGATTAGAGGTATTCCCAGTGGTCTTGATGGTCGTGGCATCTAAACTGAAACTAAAATTGACCATGAATTTAACATTTTCGTTTAATTGGCTAGGAACGTCCCCTCTGAGTCCAATTCAATTTTTTTTCAGGAGGGTCCTGCACTGGTATGTTTGTAGAATTAATTTAAAATGAGAGTTTAGCTTCATGTGGGAGGGAATCGAACCATGCAGAGGAAACGCACCACGAGCAAAGGAGCCACATGCCTACAACAACTTGGCAAGCTCCGGCCGCATCTCATCCAAATCCGTGACCAGGCTCAACGCCTTCCGATCTGACAAGATCTGATGAGCGGGAGGGCACTTACCTGATCTCGCTGGATCTCAGGAGCTAAGCTTCTGAGCCTGGTTAGTATTTTGGATGCGAGGCTAACCTGCCAATACAGGTGGTAATATGGCTTGAACTATTATGCAGTGTCCGGAATGTAGCAGCACTTTTTTTTAGCAAGAGTCCGGAACAGAGCACGAGCAATTAAAATAAAAAAGAGGGATGGTGGTGAGGGCACGGAAATTCCAGCGGACGAAAGCCCCGAGGTGCGGCGTTCACGGGGCAAGGGGAAAGGGAGAAGAGGTGGGCTCGTCTACCCCACTGCTAACGTAGGGACAGCGGACGGGACCATGGATTTGTTTTTTTTGGGGGGAAGGGAAGGTCAAGGGGGAAAAAAAGAGGAGAGCGGTGGGGGGGGGGCAGATTCTTGAATATTTCAGTTTTACCCCCTTGTATGCATGGTGCGGTTTTCATTTGAATTCCTCCCACACGAGACCAAAGATGAATAATCAATTGCATTGGCCAAACATTCAATTGTTTTGTGGAAAAGGGTATTGAGACTTGGTGAAGCATTCCAGGGTAACTATGTATTTTTTTTTACTTTGACTGCATCGCTTCTATCTAGTGTTGCCACCTGTCCTAGGTTTCCGAGGATTGTTCTCTGAGGTAGCTGTCCTGTGAAATCTGGAAGTCTTCCTGTGACGTTAATAACACGCCACTCAAAACACTACTTTTACCTGGAGTTCTCCCCTCTTCCAGGATTGTGCGATATTATTGATCTCATTTGTCCAGATTCTTAGTACCAAAAAGGTGCCAACCTTATTTTCACGTCTGGTTCTATCCTGGGTTTAGCCTGTGGCCTTGTAACCAATGCTCATGTGAAGCCTATACAAGGCCCTGAATAGAATACAAAGGTGGTCCCCATCAGAATTTTTCACAGAACCATTCCTGTAAACTCGGGGAGCCTTAATTGTACCAAATTTAACCAATGCATTTGCTCAGGCCCTCAGTAAAATTGCATGGATGTTTTCAGCCCTCTTGACTGTACCTAAAGCTTCAAGAAAAAATGGCCGTGTGTTGCTAAGGAACAAAAAATTATATTCAGATGAGATTTTTTTAAATTGAAAACTATAATTGCCTCTGTATTTTGAGCCACACATGTAGAGGCAAGTTTAGTTTAAACCGTATAATGGAAATGATGTGTTTTTTTTTAAATATCATAATATGGCATCATTTCTCGCCTTTCAATTATATTTAAACATGTGTGATGACAATGTGATGCATTTAAACACGGTGAAATTAAAGCTTTACTTTTTATATTTAAAAAATATACAAAACATATGCTAAATAAATTCTAGATTTATATTAACTCCAAAGTTTATCTTTCAACAAAGTTTATTTACTGTACTCAATGTTTGCCTTAAAGTATAACCTGTTTTGCACTTATTGGCTTTTGGGTTAATGGTTTAACAAATGTATATTCTGTAAAAAAAATCCTAGTTTTACGTCATTTGCTCACAGTATTGTATGTATGGTACTTTTTAAAGTAGCTCCTTGCTGTGACATTGTGCAACATTTCCACGGTGTGTTTTGTAAGAATTATATCTAGATATCGTATATACGTTTGTTATTATTGTTATGATTTCTTATACAAAAAAAAATCATGAGCAGTCTTTCTTTAATTCGGTGTGGCCAAATTTCAATTTTAGAGATGCTGCCGTAGTGTGAAGGTAGACACGGTGGACTTGCAATCTAGAATCTGCTGGTTCCATATCCTGAAACAATGCTGCGAGTTTCTTAAATCCCCCCGCCTCTGTCCACCCAGCAGTATAAATGAATATACCACGGTTAGTTAATTGGTAAGTCTGTGTGTGTGTGGTGGTGGGATAAGGTTGTGGGTACTCTCACATCTTACAAGATGCCTAACCATCCTGGAAGATGAGGCCAAGACTCTGGCAAGGGGCCCTCCAAAACTTCCTCTCGTGGAGGCCCTGGTTGCCAGCACTGGCATGAGCAAGACTTTTAAGGGCAGTGCCTTTATTCTTTATTTACTGGACATGTAATTCCAACAATATGTTCTAAATCAGATTTTTTCTTAATATTTAATCCCAAGCTAATATAGTAGCTTTAATTTCAATGATCAACGCTATCGACAACTTCTTGCCTTATATTATACTGTTTTGCAATGTATACTACTCGCTTCCTTCATGTGAAGAAATATGGCTTTTGGATCTCTCCCTAATTTACGAAGAGCATTAAAATACCGAGGCGAAATGAAATTATAAAATTTGGTCACTTCACTTTGCCACCCTTCATTTAAAGAAATATGGAGGAATAATACCGTAAAGTTAATGATACTGTATATAAAGTGGTACGTTATGAAAGAAATTACCTCGCGGTCGAATTAGTTCTACAAGAGACAAGGTCGGATTTAAGAGTTTTGGGAGCAGAATATTCAACGTGCGCCTCGAGTGGTACGTTATGAAAGAAATTACCTCGCGGTCGAATTAGTTCTACAAGAGACAAGGTCGGATTTGAGAGTTTTGGGAGCAGAATATTCAACGTGCGCCTCGAGTGGCACTAATTACAATTCTGAATTTGATTCAATACCGTGCCGTAGATTTCCCGTCATGGTACGTCAATGCTAACTGCTTAAAAATTAGCTAAACTTTTAGCAAATTAAGACGTTTTGCTCCACCGTTCTCAAAACAGACCCAAACGACCAAAGTCCTACCAAATATCCCACCCCCCCGACAGAATTTGCTCCATTTTTATTTAATTATTCAAAACGCACACTACAAAAAAAGGAAAGTCTCTTTGACGGCAATGAATTTGTTCTCGTATGCAGCCTCATCTTGTGTGTTCACTTGTCAACGTGTTTCTTTCCGAGCCGGTCTTGATCAATAAAGTGAGCACTGTTCTAAGCACCCGCTGCAATGGAATGTTTTGTTATAAATCGCACCCGGGCAAGGTCGCAGGCTCATCTGTCCAGAGTTGCTACGAACGTATTATTTGACTGCATGTGACCCATCCAGTGGCGCAGCATTCGAGTGTGCAGCGAGTGCAACCGCACTGGGAATCCCATGGGTCAGTTTTAGCTTTCAGTTTCATTTATTTGGAATAACCCTGTGAGCCATTCTGCTCTTGATTCGGGTGCAATCGCAACAAACAATTACAAGATACATTTAAAATTTACTTTACTAAAATTTAAACATCCTCAACAAAAACAATAAAATCTTCCAGAAAAAGCACCATTTGTGTATGCTGCGTACAAAAATGTGCAAAAAAATCCCATTTTGATGTTTGATCACAATAACAATCATAATGCAATTTAGATTAAAAATTTTAGTCTAACGCTATACAATATCAAAAAATGGGGCTAAACTAAACCTTTCTAGAAATGACAAATAATGCTATAAAAACAATGTAACAGTGATCATAAAAAATGTGATTGAAAGTTGACAATAGCGACATTCTAGATTTGAAGCTTTCGTGACTGCAAGGATCCATACTCTTTGGTTCTATTCGGTAAAGTCACGTGACTTTACCGAATAGAACCAAAGAGTATGAATAGCGACATACATAACATATATTACTAAACCTAGCATCCTTCGCTAGCTGCATGAGTCAAGCCATAATAACAGGAGTAGCAATAGTAGTAGCAGCACACTATAATCAAAATACATGATAATTTCTCGCATTGGTCATCTATACCTATATATTTTATTTCAGGCCACTGGATAGCAATGGCAGCTAGGGTTGTACAACTCTTCTAGAGATGGTCTTGTAGGTAGTGATCCAAGCTGGAGTTTATTTGCGATATCATTCCAGACCCTGGAGGCATCTATAGCAAAGGCTCTTCCTCCAGTATTTGTACGGCAATAAGGAATGCCCGTGAAGAGTGGCCGGGAAAACTGGGCAAGGGATAGGGAGGGCCCAGGGGGTGTGCCCCGGAGGACGCTGAGGGGCCCAGAAGGCCCTCTTTAATTCGTTGTACCCATGTCCTACCGTGCTACGCCACTGGACCCACATTTGTCCAAATAGCTCAAAATAGACGTTTGATCAGGGGGTGGGGGGGGATACCCATATTTGAGCAAATATTTATTGAATTATTTTTGTAATAGTTCCATTTCCACTGTTACATTGCAACAAGAATGCATTTTTGGAGAGGAGTGTGGAATGCTGTGTATTTGTGCGTGTGACCGTGCGGTAGTGCGCTCTAAACCCGGCAAGCTGGTGCGGTGTAAACATCACCACTGGGGAGACAAAGGCGGCCGGGCGTGGTGCTAGAGTCACCCACTCGTGCACCGTTTCATGACTTCATAGGTGCTCAGAGCGTTGTTTTTTCCTGGATTTTTCTGTTTGCGCATTGTCAATTTAAGATGTTTTCTTGTTCATGTTTTCGCTTTTTGTTTGTTGCGGTTGCACCCGATTCAAGAGCCGAATGGCTCACAGGGCTATACCAAATAAATAAAACTGAAAGACAGCACTTGCCCCAACAGCCTATTGAGGCTGTACGGGGGATCTTTGTTCATGTACGTGGGCAATTGTTCTGCCACTGGCGTGCAATTGCCTTTTATCTCTGTTATTTTGTAAATTGCACTTGCAGCGCGCTGCATTGGCTGTCAGCTGTTAGAGCAGGCCTTAATTGCAAGAGAGGCTCTAAAGTGCCAACGGGTAAAATCAATTTGATCGCTCAATATACAACAACAATAACTGGAATATATGAAGCGTCTGAATGCGGAATCATATCAAGACCCCTTACGATACCCAGGAAGCATGAAACGTTGGGCCAACATTGGTCCAACAGTTCCAACCACGTGACAACGGTGGCTTGTTTACCCGGAACGAAAACAACTCCCTTGACTGGATTTTGTTTCATGCAGAAATGCCTCACCGAGTCTCAAAGACTCGTTTAGAGGACAATACGACGATACATATGATTAATGCATGCACAATATATTGGGACAATCTAAGGAGAGTCCACAGTTGCCACCTCTGAGGTACAAATAAAAACAATTCTCAATCAGCCTGTATCTATCCAAATTGTGCAGTATATACAATACTATAGTAAAGTTCAACACAATGCCGAAACCAAATCTCAGTACAAATCAATTCCGGCCACCCAACACAAATGCCGACTGCTGGACTGTCTGGATTCAACTTAGAAAAAGGTGGCAACCACATTGTCTGCCATCTCTGAGATACAAAACACGACTAAATAGAGCCCGAACCCAGGCCATATATTTAACTTGCTGTGAGCACCTGGGGTGGCAAAACGTTTGCGGTTCTAATTCATGTATGTTGCCAATGTACAGTGAATTACGTGATAACCATTTGAAATGAGTGTAAATGATAAAATAACCCACTCATCCTTACATAGTTACATTCTGCTAAAATGTTTTCTACCCAATGTGGTACTAATTTCTGCTCTGGCCCTTGAACTAATTTCGTGGGAAGACGAACATATCTCAACATACTCGAAGAGGGGAGAGCTGCATGTACACGTGTTGTCTTGAAATGTTTATTATTCATCATCACCAGCAACCACGATTAATCCATTGCCGGATGAAGGCCTCCCTCAAGTGCGTTGTTACGCAACTGACAAAAACCAGGACTTTTTTGAAGTTCGGGTTTTCAGATGTCCCAGGACAGAAGCTAAGCGAACAAGAAGAGCGTCCTCGCAACACCAGGACACATGTCGACCAGAGGTATGTCGTCCTGCATGGTATCCCATTAGGTGTCGCATTAATGCACTCTCTAGAAGAGGTATACATGTACGAAACTATATTTTTTGTTTCGATTTAAAGCTTTCGTGACTGCAAGGATTCATCTTCTTTGGTTCTTTCGGTAAAGTCACGTAGAATGAGAAAAAAATAATAAATTGATAAAATAAAATAACGCAATAATAATATTATTGTGATAAAATAAAATAACACAATAATAATATTATTGTGTTATTTTATTTTATCAATTTATTATTTTATTCTCATTCTACGTGACTTTACCGAAAGAACCAAAGAAGATATATTTTTTGTATTTTTCCAGGTAAGGCTATATAGCTCTTTTTAAGAAGCGACCTGGCCACAATCGACAGCTCGAAGTGGTGTGTCATCATGTGAAAATGTGTCGCAGCCAAACGCTTTAAACACACGTTCATTTTAATTGTGGAGGGAAAACACGGAGGACCGGGGGAAAATCCACGCGACCACGGGGACAGAGAGAGAGAAACGTGCAAACTTCAAATATACAGGCGTCAGGGTTGGGATCGAACCCACGACTAAATACAACAACCCGCCATCCGCCATGAAGTGAAGGGAACGTCACCACGGCACCTGTGCCAGGCCAGGTGCACTTTGAGGCCACGTGAAGCGTCGAAGGCCTCGCTGCTGGCAGGAGGTCACGGACAGACAGAGCCATGCAAGTGCAGTGGGTCGACCGACCGAGATTACCGGCAGACGCAGCAGCTGTACCCCCTACTGTGCCACCTTGCTGCATTTTATACGTCCGGCGCTCCGCTCGTTGTTGTGAGCGTCGCTCCTCTGCCCTCCGTTGCTGTTGGGAGGGCGACTGCCTCCAACTGCCCGGTAGCAGCAGCGTCCTTCACGATCCTCCTCCTCCACAGAGCCCAATATTGACACCGCTGGTACCGGTCATCTGCAAGTCCACTCAGCTCCACATCCTCCCGTACCGCATCAGTTCCATCTCTTCTCCAGCCCGTGCCGTGTCCGTTTAGCAACCCCCCTCTATGCGGCCAAACAGAAGCTGCTTGGGCGTGCGGTGGCTGGGCACGCGGGCTACACGACCCAGCCAACGCAGCCTCACCTGCTCACCGATGGTAATATGTCCAGATCTTTCAAGGATTTGTGAGCTCCTCGCACAATTCAGCCCGCAGGTTAAACCCAGGATGGATGGTAGTAGGCATGCCAGCCTCAAAGATGTTGGCATTGATCAAACATTGCAATGCATTCCAATGCTGTAAATTTACCTGGAAATTCCTCAATGGTCGTGTCTTAACAGCCAACACAACATCGCTACCCCCCCCCCATTCCCTTCTGCTAAAACCCGGCAGGACCCTCTTGAAAGAGAGGATTGAGACTCTGTGAGGCTTTACTGAATAACAAGCAAAATGATGTTAAAGTTCAGGGGTCGGAAACCTGCATCTTTCTGAGCCACGTGCGGTGACTCTTTGGCTGCCCCCTTTGCGGGCAAACCGTTTTAAAAAAAAAAATCCACCCTTAAATCTTAAACGTCATTGAACGTAAAGAAAATTGATTAAACGTGGCAGGGGATTGGATCACGGTGGAATATCTTGGTGGCAACAAAATGTTCAGTCAGAGCTGTTGTTGTTCGAGACTATGAACTCCGGGACAAATAAACGACGTAGACGCCGGTGATTCCATCGCCTCCTTTGTTTATTTAAGTCAGAATTTGGTTGTCACCTGCTGTATAACTGCTGTGTTTGAGTACAAGTAGCGTTTGTCAAAGACTAAGACAAACAACAATGGCTTCTTCTTCTTCTTTGCAAGGTTGCCGGCCCCTGTTTATAGGCTGTGGTGGGCAGCAGAGGGCAGTGCAGAGAGGGGAAAAAATCATCTATTGGTTGTATAAACGGTGCTCTAGATCTTCTTTGGTTCTTTCGGTAAAGTCACGTAGAATGAGAATAAAATAATAAATTGATAAAATAAAATAACACAATAAAAAATTCTCACGACGTTTTGGCGCTGTCCTCCAGACAGTCTCGTCCCTTCACCTGATGAAGGCCGCTTGTGTTGTGGCCGAAACGTCGTGAGAATTTTTTATTGTGTTATTTAATTTTATCAATTTATTATTTTATTCTCATTCTACGTGACTTTACCGAAAGAACCAAAGAAGATGAATCCTTGCAGTCACGAAAGCTTTAAATCGGTGCTCTAGATGTCAATTAAATTGACCTCCTGACATGTTTTCCATTTAACATATTAATTTATATATTCTTGGTTCTTTCGGTAAAGTCACGTAGAAGGGAAACAATAAAATAATACAAATATATTTTATATAAAATAAAATATATATATAATAAAAAATATATTTTCATTATTTTTTAAATATCTTTTTATTATTTTATTGTTTCCCTTCTACGTGGTGACTTTACCGAAAGAACCAAGAATATGAATCCCTGCAGTCACGAAAGCTTTAAATCAAAATATTAATTTCTGTTTTAAATAAAGCTGACTTTTAAAAATATATAAAAGTTTTTTTTTTAAACTTCACTGGGCGGGGGGCGGGGGGTCACAAGACATCTGGACCACCCTGTTACAGTACTGCACACGTCCATGTCCCCATGTATATGCTCCTGAGCATTCTCCAACCCGCCTTCGGGGCCGTCCATAAATGACGTCACGCACCTGGGGGGGGAAGGTGTGACGAGGGGGGGGGGTGAGAAATGTGACGTCTCATCAAAATGAGCAACTTTAAATAAATATAGAATTTTGATTTAAAGCTTTCGTGACTGCAGGGATTCATATTTTTGGTTCTTTCGGTAAAGTCACCAAAAAGAAGGGAAACAATAAAATAATAAAAATGTAAAACAATCAAAATTCTCACGACGTTTCGACTGCAACACAAGCAATCATCATCAGGTGATGATGATTGATGATCGAAACGTCGTGAGAATTTTATTGTTTTATATTTTTTTATTATTTTATTGTTTCCCTTCTACGTGACTTTACCGAAAGAACCAAGAATATAAATATAGAATTGTTATAACCGCACTAATCGTTATAACAACACTCCTACAACATCAGAGTGCAGCACCACATTAAATACGCACCACAATGACAATAGTTTAAAGCGATTTTAAGCATGTTTTATTTTCTAAATGGAAATGTTTTTGGGGGGGGGGGGGGCAGAGCTTTGTGACGTCATATTGAGGGGGGAGGGGTCAAAAGTCGTCCAAAATCGCGTGACGTCATTTATGGACGGCCCCTTAATACAGCAGTGGATTGTACATGAGGGGAAAAAATATCTTGGTCGACTCTCTACAGTGGTGTCATTATAACTAAAATAATGTGTCGTATTTTTTTAAGTTATACATGATTATTATTATTATTTACAGTACGTGTACTTTTTGTTGTTTTTATTCGTTAAAAAATTTTCCCGCCACATGCCATGTTCGTTTTTTTACACCCCCCCCCCCACCAGTAACGCTCGCAGCCATTGGTTCACGCGACGCGCGCTAGGCCAATCGGCGATCTCGTTACCGGTGAAGAGCCGAGCCAAAACTTTGTGTAAAACAGAAAACTTACTTTCGTCCTAAAATAACAACAGCAAAAAGCAAGCTTACGAATGAAGTGACAAATGTGTTCTAAGAGTCACACTTCACAAATGGCTCGGAATAAAGACAAATGGAGCTACGTACGTTGGATCATTTTAAAAAAAAACACGTGTGTGTGCTGTGCATAGGCCGCGATTTACATCGCAAACTTTTAAAATGATGACTTTTAGGATAACGAAAGTATTCTTTTAAACACGACCGCGAGTTTGCTCCGTGCTGTTTAATTCCGTTGTTGTTAAGTGCATGGACATATCCCCTCATCGCGTTTGCCTCTTGGCCGTCGATCCGTTGTGGCAATAGTTGCGTTTTAAAGTCGGCCGGCTTGGCTATTTAAACTGCGGTCGTAAACGTTTTTTGACAAGGCGATTACGAGTTAATATTTGCTGGATTTTATTGTCAGCAGTGGTAATTAGTGTGAGTTTTGTGCCCAACAATATCTCCAACTAACCGCTTATCTTTGTTCTGTAAAGACGGGTTCAAAGTGTGAGCGGTAGTCGACTCATCGCTCTGTGTTGATGGTGATCATCATCTGTTTCGGCAGCAGAATCATCAACTTCATGGGGTCTCCTTTGCCAATAACAAAATATGATAATATGGTTTTACCCTTTTTTCATGGGATAGTGGCATTGTCTATGGGCTGTATGACTTTTGGCGTCCTCTGAAACCCAATCGGTTTCAAGGACAATGCAAATATCAGAGTATGTTTTTTTGTTTGTATTCTGGCCACAAGCATTGTGGTGAATGATTCCTTGTAAAAAGGTTTCATTTTTGTGTTTTAATATCTTAACACAACTGTTTTGTTGCCAGAAAAAATGGGAAAAAGCTATTATCGTATTTTTGGTACTGGCAAAGGAGATCCCATGATGTAAATGCTATGCCCCGAGCTCTCATTACTCTGATAGTGGCATTGTCTTTGTGCTGTTCGCCTTTTGGCGTCCTCTGGTCTAACAACGTTTGAGACGAGGCTCAAAAGAAAGATGTCTCTGGTGTGGACCAGTCGGTCTCAAGGACAATGCAAATATTATCAGAGTACGTTTTTTGTTTGTATTCTGACCACAAGCATTGTGGTCAATTGCAGACACGATTCCCCGTAAAAGGTTTCAGTTTGGTGTTTTAACGTCTTAACACACCTGTTTTGTTGCCAGAAAAAAGGGGGAAACCTATTATCAGAATAATCACTTATTTCCAAAATAACTACCTCTGTCGTGAACTTATCCACCGTTACCATCGGTTACACCACCAGCAACCGCATCATCGTCATTATCTTCAACATTATTAGTCCGCACCGCTTGGATGGACAGATCATCGTCGCAGTAATGAGGAATTTCCACCACTGGTGCAGGGACCCATGGTGGAACGCTCAATACTGTCACAATTATAAGGGACACTTGAACATAATCAGCAACAACAGCCAGTGTCTATCCACCCCCCCCCCCTTACGGTCCAGTGCTGCTACCAACATTGCCACTTGCATAATTGCAGCATTAAGTGTCACAGCGTTTAAAAATGTTCTCACAACGTTCTGGTGCTAATTACAGAGTGCTGAACTATATTTATTACTTTAAGCACGTGTAACTTTTTCTTTTTTTTTACTGCAGGAGTCTGATTACCAGTTTAAATTCGCCACACCAACATTTGATTGCAACTGTAAAGCAGCCTCCATCGATTTCGCACTTGTTCAGCAAATGGGGCGCGTAAGACGTTGCCTCGCAGGTAACTGATGCAAGCCTATTTGGTCGTAAAAACAGTGATATTTGAGGCAATTTGTGCTTTGTCTTTGGCCAGGGATGGAGTTACCGCAGCATTTTTCCTCCTGTGCCTACAAAGGAGAGAACGTGTCTAGCAAGACGACAACCGTGGATATGGAGTGATGGGATTAATATCACTTGCAGGAGTTGTATGTATGTCAACAGCACTGCCACTGTGAGGAATAGCGACGGTACAGGGAGGCAGTGGCTGGACAATGGCTTATGCTTATGACAAAAGGCCAGGCGTATGGTAATTGATATCCATTTGTCGTTGCCATTTGGATGGTTGGCTGCAAACTTTGCCTTATATACGTGTGACGAGATTGCAATGGGATGCCAGAGAGAAAGTCCGTCACATACGGAGTGATGAAATCAGCTCATGTGCATTGCGAGTCCATGAAAAATGGCTTCGGCTTTGGGAGGCCTTCAATCTGCAGTGGATAGATCATGGCTGGTGATAATTTCCCATGATTTTGAGGAGCATTAGCACGAAAAAACATGTTTTAACGCTCGGCAATTTTCAGCCTCGCCCTGTGGTGTACTATTTCACTGTTACATGAGTAATGATGATTAATCTCGAATTAGACCCTGACTGGGATATTTTGCTTACAAGCTTGTGAAATTTACCCCAGTGCTGTAATGATATATTCCTGAGCGCCACAGTCTTCTAAGTACAGTACTATATTGTTCATTTTACTACGTTTTTGAAACAAAACCTTGATATGAAACCAGAAAATAGCCCATTGTTTTTAAGTGAAACCTGGGAATATTGATCATGCCAAAGCTATTGAAATGAAAATTATTGTTGCATGATGAAATATGATCAAATATCCTGCACTGTAGGATGAGGCCCTCATCCTACAGTGGATATACAAAAGCTGTACATGTACATTTGTTTATGAATTGGGCTCACATGCACATGATTACAAATATAGGAATGTCCTGCAGGAATTTTTGGGTGTTTGAGTGAATTGAATCACCAACTCCTGTTCTCTAATCTCGCGGTTCAACATACATGATACCTCATCAACTCTGTACAAACTGATATAAGTGAATGCTGCACTGGCCATGACACATTTTAGTCGGCCCTAAAGCCATTCGTTCGCACATAATGAGAGCATGGGGGATTTTGTTTTGAATAATTGACGTTCGTGCTTTGTTCTGTTCGCCTCGCATTTCCAGAGGCACATCGCAGCAGGGATGGTCCCGGCCGTTACCATAGCACCCAGGCCCGCGGTCCCTCTTACTCCACCTCCTCACACCCAAGAACCATCTCCAGAACATCCAAAGTGGGTATTACACATATCGATCAAGCACACCACCCTGTTATTTATGTAACTGGCAGGATATTATTAGGCCGTTCATAGAGCACGAACATCAATAGCGCACCAATGCTTTATTGTTATGGCACCGTATGTAGGTACATGATCTGTATTCCTGTACTGGAAAGTGGAATCTTTTTTTTTGCACTTAGTGCTTGAGGTTATGTACCATTTAAGCAAACTAATCTGCAGATTCAAGGAGAAAACTAACCCTGTAAAACGTGCAGGTATTGTGTTTGGAAATTCTTAATTCGATTTGCTTTTTACAATTTAAGAAAACGAAATGTCACATTTGCACAATTGCCAGTGGATAATTAAAAGAAAAAATTGCAGTCAACAATGTTGTCTGTCACAGGCAATTGAATGCGGCGTGGAATAAAGGAGTGACGGACACCTTATTTACACATGAGCTACATTGTAACTGCTTCCCTGCTACGTGAAGAGCTTGTGCGACACTCATTCATGTCCTTTGCAGCAGTTGAATTGACAGTAGCAGCCCGAATCAGTCAGACTACTCAGAGTACACTGTGCGTGGAGGTGAGTGCATCCTCCAATGGAGCACACGTTGATGCACTGATGAAGCACTTTCATCTATATGTGCTTGCAAAAGTTATATGTACAAACTGACGTGTGCACTCGTATGTAAACTACAAGCTGGTGCCACCATGTATTTTAAATGGAGTGTATTTTGCTCTTGTAATCAACAGTTATTGATCAAATTGTGGAGCTTGGTTGACCTCAAGCCACGTTAAACTTTGCCCTCCACCGCCCATCACCTTTTACATTGGGTTCAACACTGCAATTGTTTCACTTGGCAGCGCAAAACTAATTGCAATTGAATTAATGAGAGAGTATAGCTCTTTGTCAATCCACTACTACATGAAGTCCTCCCCATAGGTCATTTTACCATACTTGATCACTATGGTCATTGCAGGATGGTGAAGGGGGTGAGTGGTGGAGGACCGGTTCAGAAATCATCTCCACTGATGTAAGCCATGGCTGGAAATCACTTTCAGGTTGCCGGGTTAATAACTCAGTGGATTAACCATTGCACAATTAAGATTAGCATGGTGCAGTGGTTTTACACACTGCACCATGCTAATCATCGTGATTAGCATGGTGAACATTTTTGGTAATTTATTTTGACCTTTGTTCAATAGTCATCGGTCATACATAGCTCATAATCAACACCATATACGTTCCTCTACGATGAACATTTCCATGGGTTACCAAGAGATTCACGAAATATGTTTCATGTTAGGATACATAAATCTGAACTTTTGGATGAAACCATACGTTTTGCATAATTTTGCAAACCTTTTGAGAGAATCTAGTTTTTTGGCTGTCTCATCCTGTGTGATTTCAATTTCCAGTCGTTGGCAGTTGTGGATGTATTTCTAAAGGCTCTCCGTGTCCATCACATCGTCAGTGTTTCAATGAAAGTTTTGTTGATTTGATTTTAATTAACTTAACACTTTTGTGGGCTGCTTTCTGCAGGATTAAAATCCTATTGTTTGGTCTTCAGCTCACACCTGGTGTGAATTATAATTTCTGTTCATGCAGCATTGTTCAGATACATTACCTTGAAAATTACATTGTGATTGCAATTCATCACAAAGTACTAAATTGTGTTTGTTAATTTACCCCAGGTCTACTAGCTGCACTGCGAGAGTGTGCAGCACACTTCCCGCCTCGAACACATTGTGAAATGGTGATTTTATTTTTCAGGTCGGCGCTGGCGGCTGCGGTGCTGGTGAGCTCACTTGCTGGGCGTGTGCACGCCATCCCCACGCGGAACCTGCCCTCATCGCGGCCTAGCTCCTTCTCTGTCACTGACACGAACAGCTTTCGCTCCAGGATGCTCGAATTGCACCATGAACGGTATATATCCCTCCCAGGCGGTGGCTTGGGTCACAGATTTCACGGCGACTGCGGTTTCTGTTAAGAAGTAGGAGAAAAAAAGAACTTCACCATCATTGTCATCATCCACTGCTGGATGAAGGGCTGTCCATTCAGCCGTCACCCTTCATGATTTTGCGATGTATTAAGCCACCTAGCACCTGCACACGTACTGATTTAATCGCTCAGTTTTGTCAGTGGACATCCTCTCAGATGCAATACAATCCTTGCCTGCTACTCCGTTGTTATTCTTGACCATCAGTCATCATCCCTTTTAGCGATGTGCCCTGCTCAAGCACGCTTACTTTTCTTAATAGTTTGGATGATGTGATGTCTCTATCGTCATCAATAATAATTTATCAGCTGTGATCCATGTATTGCTGGATGAGGGTTTCCCAAAATCGTCGCCATCTCTCATGGTCTCGTGATGCAACAAGCCCCTTTAGCTCCTGCATATGGGCTAGTCTCATCGATCCATCACTGACCCCAACATTCATCAGCGTGCACTGACCAGCATGGTGAAGTATGGTCAAACAGTCTCCACCACTGACATGGCGTGGGGAGATCGTCTCCCAGCAGTGTATGTATGAATGTGTGTTGAACTTCTTTCACATTGTATGTAGCCAACCGTGCTAATCGGAGGTGCGGGGGAAGGACAACAAACTAAACACAAAAAGCAGTTCTAAAGAAATTCGTTTTAAATTTTCAGTGAATTGGAAAAGGGCTGTAAATAATTAATTTTAACTGTCTATGCTGTGTGATTCATGCTGCGTACCACGAGTTTGTCGCTTGTTAGCGACACTAAGCATATAAATTCAGTCTCTGTGCTCTGTTGACATCACTGTTACATCATTATTCTTTTTCATATGATTTCACTGCAATTAAGTCACTGGAGAGCAACTACCGGTGATGTGAAAGCTTCATTCAAATTATGGAAGCTCTCAAACTAGTTATTGACAAGACGGATCGCCAAAACCTCACATGGTATTAGCCCACTGAGCTACCTAGACCTGCTTCCACAATATTCATCTTCATAATAAAGGTTTTTGAGTTTGATCGCGTTATTTATAAATGTGTCGTAACACTTCACCACCTGACACGGCCAAACAGTAAAAAATGTGTCACGTTTACAAAGGACAAATAGTTCACTACTTTAGCCCACCGGTGTGTTGAAGAGTGAATCAACATCATTTAAAATTTAAGTACGACGTTTCGCTGGTAATTACATCCAGCTTCATCGGGCAATTTGCCAGAATGGTGAGGCTCTCCTTTTGCTCCCGGTCTTAAATAGAGCAGCGGCAGGGTGACGTCATCATTTAATTCATTCAGGTGCAGTGATTTGTGACACACTTTTTACTGTTTGGCCGTGTCGGGTGGTGGACGGTTACGACACATTTATAAATACCGCGAACTAACTCAAAAACCTTCATTATGAATAATATTGGTCGCGAAAGCCTACGTGTTAAATATTCATCTTGTATACTAATGTTTTTTCACATTTATTTTTAGTGCAAATGGAGGCGGCGATTGCATGGGGAATGGAAGGCTGCCCTTGGCAGAGGTGGCCTATGAACCCATGTACGAGTCCTGCACGGAGAGACATGACGGTGCGCACAGCTTAACAGAGGACGGATGCTCCAGTGATGTGCTGGGAGAGGACGAGGAAGAGGAGGGGGAAGAAGAGGAGGGGGAAGAAGACGACCAAGCAGAATCGCTGACTTTCGGAAAAGACTATGAGCAAAAAACGAATTATGCCAGTGTGGATTGCGAGACTCAAAAGCCGTATAGTTTATTAAAGACAAAACCAGTAGAGGTGAGCCACCACCAGATCGCGTTTATAAGACTTATTGCGCTTTTGTCGAATGGAACATAGCCAACGTTATTAGCTGGTTCAATAAAGCATGTGTTGGCCCTTAGAGGTGTGGAGAAGTGACATAAGATCAGGGCTGTAAATCACAAGTTTAATTAACATGGACCCAGACAGTTTAGGCTGTTAGCAGTCTAGTTCTGTAGCTTCTGTGGTGCAGTGCTTACGTAATGGCAAACATGAGTGTTGCTAATAGGGTCTCCCAAGTGCAATTACTTTTGTGCGAATTGCATTAATTAAAATCCATTTGTCATCTGATTAAAGATAAAACTACAGCCGATGTGACAGCAACACGTATTAATCACTGCTTTTGTGGTATGCATCGAAATTATTCTTCGCCTATTTATGGCATTGCACCTCAGAGAAAAGAGCTTATAGGTCAACTGAATGTGAGCTAGGTGCCGGATGTCTTACCAACACTGTTGTGACTGAGCCCTATTTGCGTTTGGCACGGGTCAAGGGCGCGCCTCTTGGAGAGAGCAGCGACCTCACGGATGTGACGTCGTTGGACGAAACCGCGCGGCTGTCCTCCCCTCGGCCCCCAAAGCTGCGTTTGCCTTCAGGTAACGTCCACCGCCTGCCTCTGGCATCACACGCTGCCCATCAAGGCGTGCCGCCGTATCCTTCCGAAGCCTGAGCTGCTTTTGCTATTGGCGTAAAATAAAATGTTTCGCTCCGGATGACGCTGCAAAGTATTATCTGTATTTTGATTTAGCGTGCTGATCTTAAAGGTGCATTGAAAAATTTGATACTCCGAGTGATGCTTCTGTTGTTGTGGAGTAACTCATGCAGCCAGCTATGGCTCTAGGATTTGGTGTTACATGTTATTTATGTAGCTTATTGTAAAAATTCGGTCACAGTCCCTATGATCACTGTTACGTTGCAATTATGGCTTTATTTTTTGGTGATTTCGAAAACGTTTTTTGGTTTGAACATGTTTGTTTTGTTGTAGTACGGAGTTAGACTGATGACCTTAACCTAAGTTTTCTTTTGGTTGTTGTTGTTTGACTTGCATCCCACTGGGATTTTTTGCACACAGCGTTGGTGTACGGTGCTTTTTTCAGTAATATTTTGCTGTTTTTTTCATGGATTTTCTATTTGCACAGTCACATAGTCACTTTAAGATGTTTTTCTTGTTCATGTTTTTGTTTTTTTGTTTGTTGTGGTTGCACACGATTCAAGAGCCGAATGGCTCACAGGGCTATACCAAAATAAATAAAAATAAAACTGAAACTGTGTTGTCTTAATGGAATTGGTGAACCTTCCTCTCCTTTAGATGCAGAGTGGAGTCGCATGGGAAGAATGCCCAAGGTAACGCTCAAAGTAATGCACTAAACCAGCATCTATCTTGGATGAAGTACAACTTTTGAATGGCAGAGCGCTAAACCGTTTAGCTTTTTTGATTTAAAGCTTTCGTGACTGCAGGGATTCATATTCTTGGTTCTTACGGTAAAGTCACGTAGAAGGGAAAATTTTAAATAATAAAAATATAAAACAATAAAATTCTCACGACGTTTCGACTGCAACACAAGCAATCATCATCAGGTGTGAAAACAACGAACATTTTCTATCGCAAAAATCCGAGAGGATTTCTATCACAAAAGCTAAACGTATATTCTTTGTTGTTTCGGTAAAGTCACATAGAAGGGAAACAATAAAATAATAAAAATATAAAACAATTTAATTATCACGACGTTTCGACTGCAACACAAGCAATCATCATCAGGTGTGAAAACCACAACAAGAACATTTTCTTCAAGAAAATTGTGAAAATCACAACAAGAAAATTTTCTTCATCAGGTGTGAAACCCACAACAAGAAAATTTTCTTCAAGAAAATTTTCTTGTTGTGGGTTTCACACCTGATGATGATTGCTTGTGTTGCAGTCGAAACGTCGTGATAATTAAATTGTTTTATATTTTTATTATTTTATTGTTTCCCTTCTACGTGACTTTACCGAAAGAACCAAGAATATACGTTTAGCTTTTGCGATAGAAATCCTCTCGGTGCCTTATGTTTTACTTTAATCAATAAATGTCGCCATTAGAAAGCCTCTGACAAGTGGCCTCCCGTGTCCCTTTGAAGAGTCCATTAGCAAGAGAAGTGCTTCACAGGAGGCGTACTTGGTTATTTAAATCCTATCCTGCAGTGTTGTGTTCGAGCAATTTGGCAATAAGCTTTTCTTTCATATAAATTAGTTTATTGTTCCATAAAATGTTTATAAGCTTGCCTTACGCACAGGTATCATTGTTCGAGTAAAATAAAAAAATGTATGGTACTACTTGATATCTCTGCTATCACAGTAAGTGATGCAAACATCTAACAACAAAAACATCTTTTTGTGTTTGGAGATTTTTTCAGAAGAGGATAAAGAGGCTGTCTGCTTGTCAGTGGCGAACAGACCAATGCCTCATTTGAGTAAGTACCCACATTTATACAAAGCAAATTCTCTGAATTATGACTTGAAGCTTTCGTGACTGCAGGAATTAATATTCTTGGGTCTTTCGGTAAAGTCACGTAGATAGGTTCAAAGAAAATAATAAATAAAATAACAGCAAACTACGACGTTTCGATCACAACGCAAGCGGTCGTCTTCAGGAAAAAGACTGCTTGCGTTGCGATCGAAACGTGGTAGTTCTCTGTTATTATTTATTATTTTATTTGAACTAATCCACGTGACTTTACCGAAAGACCTAAGAATATAAATTCTCTTAAGTTGCAATACCATTTTTTACAGACCGTTACAATAATTTTTGTAAAAATAGCATGTGAATAAATTGTTTTTTTTTATCAATTAACAGGTCAGAGTTCAAACAGAGAGAGGATGCCTGCCTCTAGAAGCCAGTCGTTGAGGGTCAAGGGAGAAAAATCGACCGATCAGGGTATGCTGCTTACAAAAGTGCAATTCAACACCACTTTTGGGGGCCATTGCAAGCAAACGGGGGGGGGGGGGGTTTGGGGGGGGATAACACCCGGCTGTTTTGCTTTTACAGTTATTTTTTTGTTCACTGAATATCGATTGACAGTGCTTACACACCCCACAGCGAGCAAGCGGAACCCCACGCTGGCGATGTTCAATGAGCTAAAGTCGCGGCTCGACGTGCTCGCGGCCGAAAACCGATCGCTCACCAGGCAGCTGCGGGTGGCCGGCGACCGCAACCAGTCCCTGGCGACGCACAACGGCACGCTGTTGAGCGAGAACCAGTCGCTGGCGCGGGAACGACAGCAGGAGCAAACAGGTGCGGCTTCCCGTAAGACACCGCTGTGGGGTTTAGTGACCGTGCCAAGGAGGTTGCGTGCGAATTCGGGCTTCTGCTGCAGCTCCAACAAGGACGCTAGATGGCAGCATCTGTATAAAGTATAAAAATAAATATGTTGAATTGCAGCGTCTATGCTGTGATATTCTTAAAGACTGTCATGGGGCAGCGCTAATACGTATTTTGTTTAGAGGTTTGAGTGACTGTTGAGACCTTTCAGTTACGTCACACCTGCCAAAATGTTTTTTTTCTGTTGGCAGCTTTTGATCGATAAGGTCAACGCTTGATGTTGTTACTCTAAAAAAAAATAAGCCTCGAGGATTTTTGTTCTTTTTATTTTAGTCTTTCCCCCCCCCCCCCCCCCCCCCCCGCTTTCTGCTGTTGAACGACATGCTGTGCGCAGATGAGCTGGTGGAGCTGAGGCGTGAAGCCCAGGAGTTGGTGGACGAGAACGACGCGCTGAAGGCAACAATCCACCGTCTGAGCGCGGAGCTGAGCCGAATGCAAGCCGAACGAGGGCCGAGGCTCAGAAACAAGGTTCTCATTCCGCAGCATTCGGCATTAAGCTTTTCATTTGCCACTAATGAAAGTCAGATTTTTTTTTCTCTGGTGAAAGAATGTACAACATATTTTATTCCCTTGTGGCACCACCTTTTTTTAATTTAGTAAATCCACTGCCTAATGAAGGCCTCCGGGCACCGTGTCTGTCATGGGAGTTATTTTTTTATCAAACAACCATGCCACTCAATGCGTGTTGGTGTGGGCACTCATCCAGGACCAGGTCAGATATCACTCGCCGCTGATTTAGCCAGGGCTGGGAATTAAACTCAGGTCGCCGGGTTCGTAGTGCAACACGCTAACCACTCCGTCACCGCTCCACCCCTTTTATTCGGTACAGATGACAAAAAATTTGTTATTGTGTAGGGAATTGGGTCACTGTGTACACTTCATCAAAAACACTTTTCTTTTTAAAGTTCGTAACAAACCGGTGCAGTGTGCATGGTCCGATTGTTGAAAAGGGCATCAGAGAAGCATTGGCAAGTTTCGTGCAATTGAAGACAATTTTTCAAAAGCTAGACCTTAACTTTCCTGCATAAAACTTGTGCGTAATTGGATATAGTCTGACGCTGGTAAATTCACACCTAGTTGGGTAAGGTTTTTAAGGCCAGACACTCTAAAGGTTTTATGTCTAATTTATTGTTGTGTCTATTGGCCCAGCATGACAAAAAAAAATTCACAACAAATCACAAATTGATATTGACTTTGGCATGGGCAGAACAAATTTTTTTTGCTGGTACGTCAATGAATGTCGTCTTCGCTAAGTCACGTTATGGTTAATACATATTGTAATCATAAATGAAGGGCACTTTTACAGGGGAAGCATTCCCCTACATTTCTTAAGAAGGCTGGGGCTGTTATACCAATCCACCTAGGCCCAGATCACAGGAATATTCGTCTGCGGACACAGAACAATCATGCGGTTCACAGGAGACTTCGCTGTTACCTGATCAATAATCTTTGACTCAAACTACACGCAATTGAAAACGAGCGAGCTAACACCTCAATGCGCTGTTCAAAAAAGGTGAAGTTACAACCCCTACAATTGCTTGCTTACGCCACTGCTGCCGGAAGGTTCGACAATTTGAATGGAGCTCTAGAGAGCTCCTTCAGTGAGGGAATTTTGGCCTACTCTTCCATGCTGGCCAGACGCCTCGGAACAGTTGAGAGTAAACATGCTTTGCCCCCCACGACACGCGACCTGCCGATCAACGAACTGTGTTGTAAGAGTTTCTACTCCTCAGTGGACAGAGGCAGTGAGTTTTTAAGGAACTTTCCCATTGTTTCAGCTTTCGACTGCTGCTCCAGAGATCAAACTGGTGATATCTGTATCCCAAACTGGTACACTAAGGCAGCCTCCCTCATTACATTATTCGACCATGTACACACAGGTCCCAGTACTTTGTAAACGATTGCTTCTAGCATTGAGGATAACTGTAGATGAGAAGGAGTTGGATACACGCCCTCTTCACTTGCATCTGTTGGCCAAACATGCCTTGGGGAATTGAGAAAAATCATGACGGATCGCTCACATAGCCCACGGCTGAGCTTGTGTCTGCCTCTGCATACCGACATTCAATTAGCTTTAGGAGGGCTGCTTTACAGATCGTTAAACGCCATATTAAATAAGGTGGATTAGTGTACCCATATGATTGTGTTGTCAAAAGAATTGGCTATTAAAATTGACACTGCGGAATAATTTCTTAAATTTCATACATATACAATGGCTATAGAGAGGGTGTCACAGTTTCTAACTTTGAACTCAAATGTCCTGATCCTAACCAAGCACTAAAATTCCTTTAGGTGATCCAGAATTTTCCTTAGCCATCAACAATGATTAAGCTACTGCTGGATGAGGCGCTCCCTAAGTCGTCGCCATCCTTTATGGTCCTGCATGGCAAACATCGATTAGCTCCAGCACATGTTCGGATTTCAACACCCAATCATCATTCACAACATACACATGTATTAGAGAAAATACGCAAGATAAAAGGCATCATATTGACTGCTAACAAAACTAACTGGGCTTGGGTGGGACACGTCGCAAGAAGTAAACATGCCTGGTGGATGAGACTAACGACAGAGTGGAAGGCAAAGGAGGGAAAACATGTCCAAGAGGATATCTGTTGCAGCATTAGTGTTATCCTCAAGCCTACCTTTGTTTCACAGGTATATTAATGACATGAATTATGTGTGTGTAGGAAATACTCCATAGCTATGCATTGTGGCTTTGCAGAGATAGATGACCTTTATTTATGGCAGGTGAGAGCCCATTGAGTTCAAGGATTTATTTTTGAAGGTAGACATATACAAACAGACAGAATGTATACAAATATTGATTGGTGTGTTAATGAGCACACATGCTTATTTTGATTGCATAATTGGGAGCAGTGATTTTACAAAACTAATGCTGATGTAGCAGTAGTAACAGGGTAAACAAAAGCGTGATGTGATACCAATCTTTAGACTGCATTGCCACATATTTCACCATGATGCAATGAAAATGTTACATTGTAGGAACGTCAAATATGGCGATGGCTTTGGGAGCCTTTCATCCAGCAGTGGATTGATTATGGCTGATGATGACGATGACAAGTGAAAGGTTTGATTCCTCTTCATTGGTTGTTGCGTTTGACCTCCGCGTTCGTTTAAACACGAGTGAAAACTTTGCCCTGCAGAGAATTTGTCTGATATGCGGGGGAGTTGCAGATGTTAAGTTTTTCTAGTTTGTTCAAAGGTGATTGTGCCACTAAATAATGACCCAATTAAGAAGATGCTGCCCCCACCGGGAAGTGCTTAAGCTTAGAAGCGAGTAAAATTTCGTCATACGCAGTCTGTTAATTAGGTGTCCTGCTTCACGTTGTTTCGTCTGTCAATCATCAATCAATCATTATTTTGCGTGCCAATATCGCCCTCAATAAAGTAGGCATCAGTGCACATTACAACGGAATGGGAAAACGTTACGGGGGGGGGAGAGGGGGCATACGGCAACAAGAATAGACAAAAAGAAACCCGTCCCACCCTCAGCGGCGAACACGGACGGCTAAGACCATCTGGTGTGGGGGGAGTTCATCCTCACTCGTTTATCGGCTTGATTTAGCTGCACAGCCCAGCTCATCGCCCACACCTTGCTTTATCACGAGACACGCACACACAGACCTCAGCCCGCAAGGTTTTACCGCAGGATTGAAATATATATTTAGTATATATATTTTTTGAGTGGGGAATGCAGTGGCGCAGTGGTAAGTGCATTCATGACTATGGCTAACATCATTGGCAAGTGGTATCTGAACCGGTTCTTCATCACTGACCAGTGTGGCGATGAATGGTCAAACAACTGCCATGACTGACGGCACTCAGAGGCCTTTATTTATCCAGTAGTGGATTTATAAAGGGGTAATACACTTCATTCTAGATTTGAAGTTTTCGTGACTGCAAAGATCCATATTCTTTGGTTCTTTCGGTAAAGTCACGTAGGTGGAAAAAATAATAAAAAATAAAATAAATTAAATCACGACGTTTCGATTGCAACACAAGCAATTATCATCAGGTGTGTTAGTTATTTAACTGCCCTAACTCTGGCTTCTCTCCCACTTCAGTAAAAAAAATTATTGCTGTGGTTGTCACACCTGATGATGATTGCTTGTGTTGCAATGGAAACGTCGTGATTACATTTTTTTAAATTTTTAAATTATTTTTTACACCTACGTGACTTTACCGAAATAACCAATTGGCTTTTCTTTCCTTAAAAAATACATTGTATAGCTTCCAGTGCATTATAGTACATGATACATTTTGGATTGTATATTCTATTAAAAGTTTTTTAAGTGTGTCATTTTTATTTATTTTCTTTTTCTTGAAGGTTACACAAACTGGAGTCATTCCCATGTCCGGCTCAACTCCACCTTGGTTGGTAAGGACGGCATTGTGTTGCGAGCTCTGTGTGTGAAATCTTTCACGAAATTATGTTTTTCCTTGATAACATTTCCTAACTCTTTTAATTGCAACCTTTTTATGTAGTCCTGCTCTTTTCTGTAATATTTATTATTTTGGCACCGTTGCATGATTGCTTCAAAGTGTCGTATAATTTTTAGTACCCTTTTTATTACTTATTCATAATAAATAAACATTTCCTTGAGTAAGAATGTAGGTTTACTTACTGTAGAGTTCTGTAACAGAGCACATTATGCCAGTTTCTACAAAGTCAACCTTTTGAAAGCAATTATATTCTAGTCATGCTATCAGCATCATGTCATCAAACAATACATGTATATTTGAAACTCTTACAGCAAGCAGTATATCAGCCTGCATTAGAGAGTGGCCTACGAAGATGGCACCACTGTACTTATTATGAAGTTACTTCAATAGGCATCTCTGTCCACACTAGAGTCATTCCAGTCACATGCCTCACACAGATTGCATATCACATGTCAATTATTAGAACTTTCATAGGCTGGATCAAATAAAATTAAGTGAAAAATGTATTTAATGTGATGGATATTTTTGTAATGCAGTCGATGTTGACTGGGCCAAGACCACTAAATTTGCAAGACTTGAATACACGGTTTGATTGTGGGTGGCTGAAACCCAGGCATGAACTGGGTACCTCAGCAGTGCAGAATTCACTGAGATCAAATCTGACCAGTGGGTTTTTTTTAAAACAGCGCAACATGATTCCACGAATATTACATTTTAAAAATCAGTTTATTATATCATGGGACCTCCTTTGCCAGTGCCAAAATATGAGAATAGGTTTTCCCCTTTTTTCTGGCAACAAACAGTTGTGTTAAGACGTTAGAACACCAAACTGAAACCTTTTACAAGGAATCATGTCTGCATTAACCACAATACTCGGGCGATCCCATGATGTAGATGCTCACCCCAAGCTCTCATTACTCTGATAGTGACATTGTCTTTGGGCTGTACGCCTTTTGGCATCCTCTGGTCTAACACCGTTTTGAGACGAGGCTCAAAAGAAAGCTGTCTCTGGTGTGTGGACCAATCAGTTTCAAAGACAATGCATCATATATTATCAGAGTATGTTTCTTGTTTGCATTCTGACCACAAGTATTGTGGTTAATGCAGACATGATTCCTTGTAAATGGTTTCATTTTGCTATTGTAACATCTTAACACCTGTTTTGTTGTCAGAAAAAAGGGGAAAACCCTAGTCTCAATCAGTGTATTGTTTAGTGACAAAAGAGGCCACGGCAGTGACCAGAGTGACCCATCCTCCCACGCACACGCATTCATATGCATTGTAAAGGTCAGCATGTGCATAGTACTCACATCATTGCAGGCAGAAGCCTCTCTCCCTTTTCAATGGAAGTTTTTTTTCCCATTTGTTTTTTTGCACACAATTTACATCTTTTCTTATTTTATATGTATAAAGCGCCTTTGTTCAAGGTGCTTAACATTGTTTTAAAAACAGGATAAACAGGAACGATTTTAATGGCAGGAGCAAGCAAGGGATGAGGAATAGGTTACCACGATAGAGGGTACATATTAGGGGATGACCTTTATGTACCCACACTATACCTCACCACGGAGGTTTCTTCCACAATGATCGGGAATAGATTCTAGTTCCTCCCGTTTGAGAGAATCGGTGTTTTAGGTTCATAGCCATGATATATTTGTATGCTCTTTAGACACCTTAAGTATGTTTAGGGCCAATGGTTGGCTTAGGAGTCTAGTGCTTTGTGTCAGCAGTGACCGAGTGTCTCTGAGTTGCTCAGATGAAGTGCCGAAGTGCAAGCAGATGACACATTATCTGTCTCTCTGCTCCTTTAAGGATTCTCACGTGAGATGTCTTGTTTCAGTCACATATGACCACGTGCACAATGAGTGACACATGCGTGCACCCACTGTCCTCATCTCAGAGGTTGCACCATCCATAATTCACAAAGATTTAGTTTGCAGAGTACATAAACAACAACTGATGGTGGTGTGAGGGCAAGAATGATAGGGCTGGTGTGAAATATGTGGGGGTACGCTCAGCAAGGCATGATTTATTAAAAATACCATGTTGATAGAGATTCATGAGCAGGTGCTGTAATGCCTTTGAGACATGGTATGGTGTGATTAGTTGTCATGCTGAGGGCTATCATTGAGAATGCCGAATTGAAATAGAAAAGGCACTATGGATTAAAATTATAGCTGAGATTATGTGTCACACAAGTATATTAATGGACTAAAAATTGTTATTGCCTACTTTTTTTGGGGGGTCGATTACTCGGGCTCCTACGAAACTGACGGTCGCCCCCACATCCTGCCTCCCGAATGCAGGAAACCCCTACAATCGAAGCCCAACGTGACATGGCTTCTGATGCCGGTGACGCCACCAACCCCCACCCATCACCTGTGTGGGGGACAGAGGTGGACATTTTTTTTAGTCCGCAACTATTTCTCTATCATGGGATCTCCTTTGCCAGTACCTTTTTTCTGACAACAAAACAGGTGTTAAGATGTTAAAACACCAAACTGAAACCTTTTACAAGGAATCATGTCTGCATTAACCACAATGCTTTCGGTCAGAATTGAAACAAAAAACGTACTCTGATAATATATGCATTGTCCTTGAAACTGATTGGTCCACACCAGAGACAGCTTTCTTTTGAGCCTCGTCTCAAACGGTGTTAGACCAGAGGACGCCAAAAGGCGTACACAACACAAAGACAACGCCATTATCAGAGTAATGGGAACTCGGGGTGAGCATCTACATGATGGGATCTCTTTTGCCAGTACCAAAATATGATCATATGTTTTTCCCCTTTTTTCTGGGAACAAAACAGTTGTGTTAAGATGTTAAAACACCACAATGCAAACAAAAAACATACTCAAGAGATCCCATGATGTAGATGCCCACCGGAAACTCTCATTACTCTGATAGTGGCATTGTCTTTGTGCTGTACGCCTTTTGGCGTCCTCTGGTCTAACACCGTTTGAGACGAGGCTCAAAAGAAAGCTGTCTCTGGTGTGGACCACTCAGTTTCAAGGACAATTCATATATTATCAGAGTATGATTTTTGTTTGCATTCTGACCACAAGCATTGTGGTTAATGCAGACATGATTCCTTGTTAAATGTTTCAGTTTGGTGTTTTAACATCTTAACACCTGTTTTGTTGCCAGAAAAAAGGGGAAAAACCTATTATCAACTATTTCTCTGTTATCCGATTAGTTGTGTCGTAGAACCGATAATTATCTCTAGATTTGAAGCTTTCGTGACTGCAAGGATTCATACTCTTTGGTTTTATTCGGTAAAGTCACGTAGATAAAATAAAACAATTAAATCACGACGTTTCGGAGGCAACACAAGCTTCCGAAATTGTACTGTCTCCTGACGATATACTCGTCAGCTTTGATGTGGTCTCTCTGTTCACTAAGGTCCCAGTACCTGATACCATCACAATAATCGAAGATTTAGTCCAACATGGACTTGACCCCGATGTACCGGGTTTGGTTAAGCACTGCCTCACCAACACCTACCAATGTTATCATGGAGAAATTTGAATCAGATGCCATCCAGACATCCACCCTCAGCCCTTCCCTGTGGAAGAGATGTGGATGACACTTTCGTCATTTGGCCACATGGCCTCCCAGCTTTGAACCTTTTCCTAGACCACATCAATTCCAGACACCCTTCCATTAAATTTACCATGGAGGTGGAGAAAGATGGCAAGCTACCATTCTTGGATGTCCTGTTTGAGAGAAGGCCTGATGGCTCTTTGGGACATTCTGTTTACAGGAAGCCCACCCACACAGACTCCTACTTGAAACCTGATTCCCACCACCACCCGACTCAGAAGAATTCTCTCATCAAAACGTTAATCCATAGGGCTCATTGCATTTCTGACAAACACCACCTGACTAGTGAATTAAAACATGTACATCTGGCCCTCAAGATGAACGGCTACTCTGACCGTACCATCCGCCAAGCTGTTTCTCCCACCACACAGAAACAACCACTTGACACTCTGATCAAAATCATCACGTTACCATACATATCAGGCGTTACTAAAAAGATTTCCAAAATTCTAAACAAACACAAGATCCAGGTCCGGTTCAACACAGTGCACAAAATCTGCGATCTGATTCCGTCAGTAAAGGATGTGATTCCTGACCTACAGTACCCCGGTGTTTACAAATTGAGTTGTACCTGCGGGGACTGTTATATCGGGGAGACGGAACAACATATCTCTGACCAAATCCGCGAGCACAAATCAGATTTGAAACACGGCAGAACGAATTATTTTGCCATAGCTGATCATTGTTACAACGCTGTGGGTGATCATGATATTGTCTTCTCCGACACCAAGGTGCTCTGCAAACCTACAGGCTATTATCAGAAATTTGTCCACGAGGGCATCCAGATTTACAAACATAGACACAACTTCAACCGAGAGGATGGTTTAAAATTGAGTAATCACTGGAAAGATGTTTTAAATCAAGTCAAACGTTAGCTGCCTTTCAAATTTTTGTACAGCCATTCCTCAGTGGTTGTATATAATAGTGCCCTTTGATCGCGTTCACAGAGAGCTCGCATCGGGGAGCCCTTTGATGTGAGCTCACATCGAGGGGCCCTTTGATATGGGCCCTTTGATGTGAGCCCTTTGATGTGAGCTCGCACCGGGGGACCCTTTGGTGTGGGCTCACATCGAGGGGCCCTTTGATATGAGCCCTTTGATGTGAGCTCGCACTGGGGTACCCTTTGATGTGAGCCCACATCAGGGGGCCCTTTGATGTGAGCTTTGAGAAGTGGGTGTTACCCGCAGCATTCTATCAAAAGGCTGCTTAGCCCAGCCCTCCCACCCACCCACGCCCCCTTACTGACTCCTCCCCCCTCCCTTAACCTGTATATAATCCAAGGTCGTCTCTGAACTGTGCTCCTGACACAGATATTCTGCGTTGATTTTTCCACCTGAAGACGGAAGCTTGTGTTGCCTCTGAAACGTCGTGATTTAATTGTTTTATTTTGTTTTATTTTATCTACGTGACTTTACCGAATAAAACCAATAATTATCGTTAAAGCAACTGATTATCTAAATGGTCGGATAGCCCAGCTCTAATCTTGATTTGAAGCTTTCGTGACTGCAGAAATCCATACTCTTTGGTTCTTTCGGTAAAGTCACGTAGTTAGAAATAAAACAAATCACGACGTTTCGACTGCAACACAAGCAATCATCATCAGGTATGAAAACCACAGCAAGAAAATTTGAAAAAAGTGGTGGGTTTTTTTCAAATTTGAAAAAAGTGGCGTTTTTTTTCAAACTTTGTTGCTGTGGTTTTCACACCTGATGATGAATACTTGTGTTGCAGTTGAAACGTCGTGATAATTTTATTGTTTTATTATTTTATTGTTTCCCTTCTACGTGACTTTACCGAAAGAACCAAGAATATGAATCCCTGCAGTCATGTAAGCTTTAACTAAAAATTAAATTTTAATTGCTTAACTACGTGAATGATAGGCAGCGGTCGGCCAGAGGAGATGTGGTGACGTAAATATAAAAGCAAGTTGTGGCGGTGAGTTAGTTGTATGCAAACATAGAGAGATGTGTGTTTTGTTGTGATTTGAATGTTGTGATGGAGTTTATTGTGCACATTGGCTCAGGAAGGTTGTTCCAGAGGTGTGGTGTTTGTTTTTTGGTGGTTGGAGGGGTGTTTGGGTTGAGGAGTGAGGTGACCTATTTTCTTGCTTGATCTGCATGAGGTTTCTGATGTAAGGTGCCAACTTGGTTTGTGTATTGCTTTGTATGTTAATAGGCTGATTTTGAAGTGTTTTAATTGGTAGCCAGTGGACGTTTGTTATAGTTTATTTAATGTTCAATGATATCTGGAGATTGAAAACGAGGCAAGCAACATTATTCAGATTCCACGTGTAAAGGAAATCTAGAAAAATATGATAGGTAAGTCATTCGGTGATGATCTGACTGTATCTAGCTGTCCGTCAAAGAATGATTTGGTCGGTCATGAATGTTCATTCAAGGATCTATTTAACTAAACCTTTTGACTTGTGATACAGTGAGGGAAAAAAGTATTTGATCCCCTGCTGATTTTGTACGTTTGCCCACTGACAAAGAAATGATCAGTCTATAATTTTAATGGTAGGTTTATTTGAACAGTGAGAGACAGAATAACAACAACAAAATCCAGAAAAACGCATGTCAAAAATGTTATAAATTGATTTGAATTTTAATGAGGGAAATGAGTATTTGACCCCTCTTCAAAACATGACTTAGTACTTGATGGCAACACCCTTGTTGGCAATCACAGAGGTCAGACGTTTCTTGTAGTTGGCCACCAGATTTGCACACATCTCAAGAGGGATTTTGTCCCACTCCTCTTTGCAGATCTTTTCCAAGTCATTAAGGTTTCGAGGCTGACGTTTGGCAACTCGAACCTTCAGCTCCCTCCACAGATTTTCTATCGGATTAAGGTCTGGAGACTGGCTAGGCCACTCCAGGACCTTAATGTGCTTCTTCTTGAGCCACTCCTTTATTGCCTTGGCCGTGTGTTTTGGGTCATTGTCGTGCTGGAATACCCATCTACGACCCATTTTCAATGCCCTGGCTGAGGGAAGGAGGTTCTCACCCAAGATTTGACGGTACATGGCCCCGTCCATCGACCCTTTGATGCGGTGAAGTGTCCTGTCCCCTTAGCAGAAAAACACCCCCAAAGCATTGTTTCCACCTCCATGTTTGACGGTGGGGATGGTGTTCTTGGGGTCATAGGCAGCATTCCTCCTCCTCCAAACACGGCAAGTTGAGTTGATGCCAAAGAGCTCCATTTTCGTCTCATCTGACCACAATATTTTCACCCAGTTGTCCTCTGAATCATTCAGATGTTCATTGGCAAACTTCAGATGGGCATGTATATGTGCTTTCTTGAGCAGGGGGACCTTGCGGGCGCTGCAGGATTTCAGTCCTTCACGGCGTAGTGTGTTACCAATTATTTTCTTGGTGACTATGGTCCCAGCTGCCTTGATATCATTGACAAGATCCTCCCGTGTAGTTCTGGGCTGATTCCTCACCGTTCGCATGATCATTGCAACTCCACGAGGTGTGATCTTGCATGGAGCCCCAGGCCGAGGGAGATTGACAGTTCCTTTGTGTTTCTTCCATTTGCGAATAATCGCACCAACTGTTGTCACCTTCTCACCAAGCTGCTTGGCAATGGTCTTGTAGCCCATTCCAGCCTTGTGTAGGTCTACAATCTTGTCCCTGACATCCTTGGAGAGCTCTTTGGCCTTGGCCATGGTGGAGAGTTTGGAATCTGATTTATTGATTGCTTCTGTGGACAGGTGTCTTTTATACAGGTAACAAGCTGAGATTAGGAGCACTCCCTTTAAGAGTGTGCTCCTAATCTCAGCTCGTTACCTGTATAAAAGACACCTGGGAGCCAGAAATCTTTCTGATTGAGAGGGGGTCAAATACTTATTTCCCTCATTAAAATGCAAATCAATTTATAACATTTTTGACATTCGTTTTTCTGGATTTTTTGTTGTTATTCTGTCTCTCACTGTTCAAATAAACCTACCATTAAAATTGTAGGCTGATAATTTCTTTGTCAGTGGGCAAACATACAAAATCATCAGGGGATCAAATACTTTTTTCCCTCACTGTATACACATTTAAAAATAACTATATCTCTTGAGAAGGATGCGTGATAATAACGTGTCATTTGTTAAACAACACATGTAATGGAACACATTCGCCGTTGCGAAAGCACATTACTCGGAGGGTTAAATTATGCCAACGCATTTCTTGCTATTTGCTGTTCTGTCTTGAGCAATGTGTCACCTTGTCATTTACTTCCCTGTGCCTACTTGTGTTCACAGACAGACACGCGCTACCTCTCTCCCCTGCTGGCAGCCTACGAGGAGAGACTCGTCGATAAAGATGACATCGTACGTGAGTGCAAGGTAAAATGGCGATTCCTTCTGCTGCATTTTTATTTATTTATATTTTCACGGGCACATATGTTGGGACCTGCGAAACGCGTCGCTGTAGGTCCCGAGCGGTGACGGTGCTGTCATTAATAGCGCCAGTAAATCACCCGAAATATTTCCCACGATCCCCATTGTGTTCCTCTTGCGCTCCTGCTTGGCTGTGTTCAGCGGGTAATGCAGGCGCTTGGTAGGAAGCCAAGCACAACATAAAATTAATGTTCTTCCCCACCTAACGTGACTGCAATTATTTTCTCAAGTGTCTGTCCTCCAAACGCTGAATTTCCTTCCCCTCTGCGATCTGGTGTATTTATTTTCTTGCAATTACATTTATGCTTTGCATCATTCATTAATGTTATTCCCCTTTTATTTACATTTTAATTTTAGAAATGGAGCAAAGCGTTGCAATTCAATTTCCGGCCCGAATACAAATCCCGGAATAAGTAGGATTTTTCAAATTAAATGTACAATTGCTTTATACAAATTGCATAAGCAGCTGAGAAATTTTACATTATCAAAATTTCTCATTTTCGATGCGGGGCTACGGCTTTTCAGCGTGTTTTTCTCTCTGTTTTGCCCTGACCTTTTCATTTTGTAATTTTTTTCATTTTAATTCTGTTTACCACTGTTGGCCATCAGTGTGGTGCATCTGTCAATGCAGTCCTGTTGGGTTGAGTATTCCCCTAATGTCTATTGAGCCATGGCTATGTCAGGCTTTCGATTAGGTCGGATTGTTTTTGGGACAATCTGTGTGCAGTCAGTGGCTTAGGAGCGATTGATTTTTCTGGAGAAAATATATATAATTTTCCCGTCCTAAGCCGCTTTCAATTGATTTATGTACAACGCATGGCATGCCTGCTAAAGCGTTTCACTTTTCCAGCCTTCATTTATTATTAATTGCGAGGACTAATCGACCTCCATCTACATGTTTAATTGCTTTTCAATTATATTAGTGGAACGGTTTGAGCTAGGACGCAGTTTAGCACAAGCGGTGCGTGCAGACGTACATCATAACCCTTTGACGTTGGCCATTATTCTTAAGCATGTTGAGTGCCCTTTGCACATGCTCTCCCCAAATCCACTTCAATGCAGTGCTGAATTAACTGCAAGTGATCATTGAACAAAAATAAGTAGCAGAAGAATAAATGAAAAATACTTGGTAAATTGTAATCATTTACAGTGTGAGTTGGTAAAGGCAGAGAGCTCAGGACTGGTTTAGATAGGAGTCACCATTGATGTTATCCTTAATTGGGAATCAAGCTGAAGTTATCCGGTTTAGAGCACAGTACAATAAGCACTGCAAACACTGCTCCCAAAATAATAATAATGCCCCTTTATTTTTCCAGGAAAGCCTCACTGAGTTCCAAGACTTTTTGAGGAGGATCCTTCATTAAACTTTGGCTAATTTAATTAATGACTATTGAGCATTAGGGGCGGAAAACAGAGTACAGTAGACTCTCGATTAATTATCCGCGCCAATGACAGGGATGACGGCCGTGGATAAATCAAAATTGCGGATAATCCAAAAATATAAATTTTCCGCGGATCTCTGTGCCAAAAACCACGATTATTGCTATAAATTATCGATCGATGCGTGTGCGCAACTATAACACTTTCCTGCTTCCGCACAGAATACTCCGCCCACTCTGGATAGCCGAGCCACGGCAATACAAATAATTCAAATTCCACCCACTTTTATAAAGGAATCAACTACTCTACTATAGAGACGATCAGGGTGATTTCGGATTCACCGGAGCACAAATTTGTTCGGTTTAAGCACGTGACTTGTAATAAACATTTCCAAGAATAACAATGTATAACTGTTTTTAGATTTTTAATTTGAAGTTAAGGGAAAATCCATGAGTAATTAATTTACGTCAAAATCGCAGTTGCGTGGTTAATCCACAAATTGGATAAACCGCACGCAGATAATTAATCAAGTTTACTGTACTTGGATAAAAACCCAGCCATAAGAGGAGGTCACATTCGAAACTCCACACAGAGGGCTTTAAGAATCAATTCGCAGTACTGCCATATTATGGCCACCTTGCAGCCCAGTACATTTTAGATGTTACGCAAATGCGCATGCTCCATTATCCATCGCCTCATAAGCACTGGATCACAGGCGTCCGCTAACCCTCCTAATCAATATTGCAACTTAAACATTTCACCTATGTCCTAAATGTGAAGGAAGCTGCATTCCAAAAGACAAATTGCTGCATGTTTTCTTCTGTTACCAAAGCAAAATTGATTCCTTGCAGTGCAGCACTGTAAATCTTCTACCCTAACTAAAAAACACTGCCCTTTGGTCTCCAAAAACAATTGTCTAACCAGCTGCTGGATTGATCAGCTGCTGTCAGGTCAGTTATTACTGATCAGCTATAGTCAAATGAGCTGTTGTCAGATCAGTTGTTGTCAGATCAGCTCTTGTTCATCAGCTGTTGTCGAATCAGCTGTTTTCAAAATCCCTTTTTGTCAGATAAGCCGTCGTGTGGATCAGCAGTTGCTGACTGAGAACAGTCGATTTATTTTGTTAAATTTGCATGCTGCCTTGCCGTGGCATTCCCCAATGCACCACCTCGTGTTGTCTAGCTGTCGTGCTGGCTCCCACGATGCACTGTGTGTCTTGACAGACATGATAGGGTGTGACAGTCTTAGCGCAGCAAATTTATTGGAGCATCCCAAGTATAGAGGCGCGCCTAAGAATCTCACTACAGAGATACTTTATGCTCGTTGCTCATTAATGAAGCTTGAAACCAATGTCAGATAGTGCAGGACACACAACCTCAGTCATGTAGTTTGCAAAATAAATGGTACTTTGTTGTGTCTTCTTTTTAATTGCCTTGTATTTCGCCAAACGAGGAAAATTATGCTTTGTTCATCCATATTTGGCTGAGCGGATATGTTCGTAGGGATGTTGGCTTCATATTTCCAACATCGGGCTCGGGCTTAGCCGTCTTATTTCATCATCATCAGCCAGGAGCAATCCGTTATGAGATGAAGGCGTCCCCAATCTATGACATATCTCACAGTCCTGTCAGGTAGCCATTCATCTAGCATCTCTGCATCTCCTACGGTGGACGTCCTTTCAGGCGTGTTCCATTATTTTTCTGTTACTTCAAAGTTGGTCTCGATCACGGCCTTATGATCCCTTACAGCGATGTGTCCTGTATAATCCCACTTAGCATTCACGGAACGGTCGTGTTTGTAAGGAAGTTATTTGAATGAACAGTCTGCGTGCTGTGCGTTTTACGTGAGGTGTGTGTGTATGTGGCAGCTTGAGGTGCACGTTAGCACAGCACACTTCCGCTCGTGTACGTGAGCATTCGCATAGACAGCCGCTGTAGAAATGAACGGAAATGTGGTTTCATGCTGTATCGTTATCGCGGCGCTTTCGGTCCCAAGCTCGGATAATTGCAGCGACGAGGTTGTGTGGTCAAAACGCAGCAGTTGCAATGATTGCGGTCGGTTCTCGTCTGACCTAATTTTGCCTCTTGTGCAGTAATTTAACACAATTTGGGAGATGTGGCAATAAACACGATTCATCTCCGCAAAAGGAAAAGTCATCTCTGCACGTCTCGAGAGAATTATCTTTTGTGCGACAACCTAAAATCATAATTTATTCCTGCCAAAGTGTCAGCATAAGTTCAAGCTTCATATCAGTTATCAAGAGTGTTTGCAAGTAGCTCTAAAACAATGAGGATTGGCAACGTATGTTTTTTTCTCTCATTGCTTGCTATCAGTGCATTCACTCGCTATGCAAAATCGTTAAATTGGCTGCGTGACGCATCTCCAGCAAGTGGATAATAATGCCAGAATTAGCCTTAAGCCTGGCAACGTGGGTAGAATGTCCTCATCTAGAGAGTGTGACCGCCTGCTGTAAGAGTTATTGCTTTTTACCAGAAAACATATTTAAAAAAATCATATTTTGTATTATTACAGCGCCTTTTTATTATTTTCCTTTTATCGTCTGGAAAAAAACATGACTTGTATGCTAATGTGTTTTTTTCACGTAATTAAATTTAAGAACAGACGGACAACACGTAATTTCCACACACACAACCCCTGAAAATAGAAATGAGTACAAAAGGTTATAAGTGTCTGGCTTCTGGGAATGAAAACGATCTTGACAGAAATGTGGTGACAACCCAGCATATATTTTATTAAAAAATGTGTCCACCATGATTAACTTTTAAATAACTATCAAATATCACCTGTAATTCCTGTTCTTTCCTCCCACTCTATTATATATCCAACTTTTTAAAAACCTGCCCGCCACATCCCACCTCTTCACCCTTAGCCCTCCATCTCTGGCTGCCTTCCTACTCTGTGATATATATATACCCATGTAGCCCGTGTCTACATCTCTATTGCCGTTTAAATGTATCTTTTCAGTTTTAATAAAATGTGTGACCATATGTGCCGAGCACTGCTGCCAGGAGTAAGTACAAAACTGACAGTGCCGATATCTGCTCCCTGGCCAGTTTTAGACATAGATTTGAAGCTTTCGTGACTGCAAGGATTCATACTCTTTGTGTTTTTTTCGGTAAAGTCACGTAGGTAAAAAATAACAAACGCTTAAGTGTGCTTTCGCTAATTGTCCCCACCTGAAGAAGGAAGCTTGTGTTGCGCCCGAAACGTCGTGATTTAATTTAGTTTTAATTTATTTTGTTTATTTTCTACCTACGTGACTTTATCGAAAAAACCAAAGAGTATAGTTTTCGACATTATCTGCGCACGTGTAAAAAAAAAAACTGCTCTTCCTTTCCGATGTACAGTATTTCAGACGTCCTCATCATTATCCGCTCCTGAATGAAGGCCTTCCCAAATTGTCGCCGTTTCATGGTTCTGAGATATAATGCTTCACCCAGCATCATATTAAGCTTTCACAATAGGGGAAGAGATACGCAGCCATATTTAACCATGCTGGTTAGTGCGTGGGGTAAGAACGGCACCCACCGAAATGTTGAGGCCTC